AAAGAAATATCAGACTCGCTTATGTTAAAGAAATATCAGACTTAGCAGTAGGAACTGTAGGGGTAAGACATATTTTCAAAAGCAGTAGTTAGTTAACATAATCGGAGTACAATGAGTCTAACCTCTCATCAACAGCTCGCTGGCAGTCAAATATGCTATTGCCATCAGACTCCATTCTGTCAGTTTCATCATAGAACACAAACCCAGACTGAGATTAAAATCAATACTTTAGTACAGACAAAATGAAAAAGGTTTACTGCAATTAATTAAACAACTCAAACTAAGAAATTTTCATGAAGATTTTTCAAATTTATGAGATTTCAAGAGGATTAAAAAAAGAAAGAGTACAATGAAGGGTAGGAAATATTCCGGGTAGTACCTTGCAGCGGCAGGAACCATCACTCATAAGGAAGTATCTGTTAGCTCCCACACACGTGCACACTTTAGCACCCTCCTCGCTTTCAGCACTGCTACCACACGGCTTGCACTTGGCTTGTCCCTGAGGTAGTGGATTATCATGGGCTTTTAGATATGATTCAGATAGGGTCCTCTTTTTTACTTAAGCGGTAAAAGGTAACCACTTTATCATATAACAATGTTAGAATCGAGTAAGCTGATCGCTCTGTACAAAAAAACAAAAAACTTATGAGAAAACTTAAGAAGCTGAAAGAGAACGTACGTCGAAGAAGTTGTAGGTGTTAGGAGAACAACTCTTGCACACATCAGCTCCGACTCCCATGTCCATATCATTGTAGGTTCCGGCTGGACAGGGTGTAGGCCAGGGGGACTCCAGCTGACAGAACGTTCCCTGAGCACCAGGATATTATGAGGTTAGAATTATAGAGGTTAGAATTATGAGGTAAGATCATATAGGTAGGATTGATAGTTTGAGGAATGAATCAAAATTCGACCAAATGGCCGGCCAGTAAAAAACAAATATTTCTAGTTGAACACTAGAATGGGGCCCTAATTTGGCTTACAAAGACGGAAAAGTAAAATAACCTGGGGACAAGGAACCGGACACTTGCTGCCCTCAGGGCAGGTATAGGTTCCGTTCCAAACGTCTGGTCCGTTAGTTCCCTCTACACAGTAGTGTCCCTGGGTGAGAGTGAGTTACTAAGAGTTACTAAGAGTTACTAAGAGTTACTAAGAGGTACTAAGAGTTACTAAGAGTTACTAAGAGTTACATGATAATGTCAGTGTCCCTAGGTAATATATTTAATGAATTAATCGTGTTTATCTGTATAATTATTTGAATAAAACAATACCTCAGGACAGGATAAGCAGAGAGTTCCGTCCAGGTTACCATAGAGACCAGCATTACATGGTGTACAGAAAGTCTTCAGATCGGTTCGCAGAGCACCTGTCACACAATCAATTATATTATTATTAGTAATTTGTAATTGATCTGTTATATATTTGTGATAGATTTGTAATCGATTAGTAATTGGTTTGTAATTGGTATTTTTGATGGATGATGTTCACCGCTAACATCTCGTAAGTGTTACGATGATTTGCCCCGTCAAGAGGCGACGTTAACGTTGACGAGAGGAATTAATATAGCAGCCTATCCAAGATCGAGACTCCAGGGTCCAGACTCCAGGGTCCAGACTCCAAGGTCCAGACTCCAGGGTTGGATAGCGCGGATAACCCAAGTTATGATCATTAGGTAAGGGTTAAAGTTTTCAATCCGAACTCTTTTGAAATTTCACCAATTGGGATCATGAATAGATTTACATGTCAGTTATAAGTTTACCGCCAATATCCCTTGTTCCCGAATAGTTTTGCAGAAATATCTCAGTAATTTGGTTGTAATTCGTAGTCAATTAACTTGTAATTATACGGAATAATTCCTAAATATTGACTCGATCACGAAGTTGCCAAACTTATCAGGATAAATTTGTACACATCCAATAGTTATAATGCAATAATACGCACTTTTAACGTAGTATTCAATTTTCAAGAAAACACTTTTACCAATTCCCAAACAATCACCGCGTGTGCTAAAACCATTCACAAACCTCAACGTAACTGAGGTTGACCTCAATCAAAACTGGTGTTTACCGTCAACAAAACTGAGTTTTACCCTCAACAAAACTGAGGTGTACCGTCAACAAAACTGAGGTTTACTCTCAGACCCAACTTTAAACCCCTCCGCAATACACCTCACTCTGAACAACTCCCCTAGCTTACACAAAGTCAGCTGCTCATAAAATGAGGGTAACGAGCACAGATCCCACAAACACTTCCTAAAGTAAGGTATGGGATCTACACGTGATACACAGGTGGTGAAGTGGGGCGAGTAGAGGGTCTCTCCACATTTCTTTATAGCTGAACTTCTGAAGGATTTCACCCCGCAGAGATATGTGTTTTGTGTGGTTGGAAGCGGAGAGGAAGTTAAGTGACATTGGTTTACAGTGCTGTTTTCTTCATATTGAGCTGTTGTTTTTAAGTGAGTCAGGGAGACCTCTTCAAGAGTTGGAGGTTGGGAGACTTCAAGAGGGGTGAGAGGGTAACCGCACATGCCACATATTCTAGAGTTGGGGGTGTTAGGGGTGATGAGAGATAGGTGCAGACCCAGAATATCCCACACCAGTGTAATGTTATCTCCTACTGATATCAGCAGGTTATCTCCTTCTTGTTTCTGGGTGATTGAGGAAGGTCTGGTATTTGAGGTACTTGAGGTATTTGAGGTATTTGAGGTACTTGAGTTTATCGATGTAAGGGATCCTGGTCCTATTGTTATCTCTGTGTCAAGGTAAAACAGAACAAGAGATATTAAACACAAGGACTTGGAATCATCTGAAATGTACGGGCACCTCTCATAAAACCCATACAACGTCCACTTGAATCCCCCACAATCCTTAGCCACTGTAGTCCTACAAAACCTAGCTTTACCAGTAGATTCACTCTCATCCCCTGCTGGAAACACATCAGATATCCTCCACGATCCAAACAACTGACAAATATCATTATCTTGATACAATATCTCAACCACATTTGACACAATCTCAATACAATCCTGATAGAAGCAGGTGTAGTTTCCCGCCCATTTCCTCTGAGCACGTGGTACGAGTAATCTGATAGCAGTGAGAGGTTCCCCATCACTTCCGGTTAACACCACTCCGTTCTGATACCAGAGTATCTTCTTACCTCTACCCCACCGTCCTGAGATCGTACAGTATAGATCCAGGTGTGTAGATCCGGTTAAGATAGGAGTTTCTGTGAGCAGTGATATAGAAGAGATCTGTAACTGATTGGTTTCATCGCATGACCACAGAGATTTAGGTGAAATGAGGGAGCCGGTGAGGCAGGAAGCACGGTTTATCTGGCAGAAAGAAGTGTAGTCCTTACAGTCCGAACCACATATAGATGTGGTTTTGTTCTGTGGTCCACATTTCTCTCCGCACAGCTTCTCAGTGACGTTCAGAAACACAGTGGTTTGTATCAGAAAGTTACCAGTTCTAGCGAAGCACGTGTAAGGCCCCGTGTCCTGTTCCGTGGCAACACCAAAACTCCTGACTAGAGTCACCGAGGTGTCATTAACAGTCACACTACTGCTCTGAAGATCCAGCATCTCAGCTGGTAGATCCTCTTCTGTCTCCAGATACATATCCTCACTAACCCCTCCTTCTCCCTCTCTCTGAGTATTATGTCTGGTGTAGAGAGCGTTTAGACGCTGGAGCTGTTTGTTGAAGGGAGGGTCGAGGATCGTGAGGGGGATGTAGATCTTGCGGCGGATATCTGAGGTACGGATCTTAACACGCCCTGATGGATCCAGCGCTATGTTATCTTCTTCTGATGTTATGGATGAGAGGGGGGAGGTGTCAGGTGTGGTTTGAATAGGAGATTCTCTTTCTCTTTCACTTTCGTTTTGGTTGTTATCACGTTTAGTTTGTTTCTGAGTTCCCTTGTAAAACCCAGTAATTGGAGGCTCAGCAGTACCAGTAGCTTTACACTCAATAATCACACTGTCACCAGCCTCAGCGTGGATATACTCAACCAATTCCACTGTAGGCGGGGAGATAGCTGAGCTATCAGGCAATGAGATAGCTGCAGCACCACTTTCACTTTCACTTTCACTATCTCCGTTACAGCCAGGGATGTTACAGATATGGATAGCGGCGGGTATGATTGTAGCACACAGTTTGGAGAGAGCACAAGATCTGCACCAGAACGAGGGTCCGTCGTTAGAGCACCTTACCAGGTTCACGGCTTGTTTAGGGTCTCTGCTTTTGGCAGTTTCGTTTGAGAAGAAGATGGAATTGTATGTTGTGGATTGATCGGAATTGACGAAAGTATTGTTGTTCGTAGTTTGGTTTGTGTTTCTGGGTGATTGATCAAGGTTTTGGGAGTCAGAAGCTGTTTCTTTTTCTCTGCTGTTTGATTTACCAGTCATCTGGTCTATTGCTCGCGTGGAGTTTCTTAGAGTTGAGTTAAGATAAGTGGTGTTGCCAGCTGATGTGGAGTTGGTAGGAGTTGTTTTGGATAGGGTTTCTGAAAGAGGCTGATCATATTTGGTGCTCGGTTTGTTGGTTCCGACGATCTGACAGTAGCACAGTAGCAAACAAGGAAGCAGTGAATTCATGGCAAATTCGGTGGGAAAATCAGCAAAAACAAGCTTTCAAAATTGGAAATGAAGTTACGCTTAATTATTGGTTAAGGAAATTGGGTTAGATGTCCAATTACTAAGAAGTAAGAACACATCGTCTGATCGGCCAGGCAGCTAAATTTGTAATCCACGACGTTAGAGTTAAACGTAATGGTAATTGTTGTCACTCAATTAACTTACTGAATTGATCAGAGGAGGTCACACTGTTGCGCACATAATTTTTTAGACGATATTTCAAGTAAAAGGTCGTATTAGGACGTATTTGACTGTACTAAAGGTAAAATATTGTTTACAATTGTTAAACAAGAAACTCAAATTCAGTCCAAAATAACGAATAAAACCTGAGTCAGATGCAGCTTTCCATCCTAGAGGACAAGTGAGACGGTTAACGGAACCCTCGGGACAGTAGTAGGGGTACTCACACTGCTCTGGTATTGTACACTCCGCAGGACATGAATATCTGAGGGAAAAGTGGAGTTAGTTCTGTTTTGAAATAATGGGGAGAGGTGGTACAATTGTCGTGGGAGGCGCTTATAAATTAGTAAAATTATAGAATCACTGGCACATGTCAAACATGACAGAAAATTTTGGGGGATGGTTACAGTACCAACGTTTTCTTACTTCGTGAAAATTGAATACAGAGAAAAATCAGAAAAAGCAAATCTCGGATATTAAGCACAGAATTCTGATACTGGGATTATTCAATAAAGAAAATAGCCTATTTGCATGGAATTAAGCTTGTCCAGGTTTCACTCGGAACACTCAAATAACCCAGCAAAACACAAAAGAGTGTACTAACCCAGCAGGACAGGCCTCAGGAGTGTTGGTGCCGTTAGGACAGAAGTAGCCGCTAGGACAAGCCTTGGGAGCTGGTGTACCTGAGGACTCGTTATAATGGCAGTAGTATCCTGCTGGGCACCACTGACCTGGAGAAGAGGAGGGTATATCAGAAGTAGTCAAACAATATACAGATAATTGTCTAGCTATGAAAATAAATAAACCAATACAGTAAATGTAATGAAACGGTAGAAATTAAAAAAACCAGGGTGACCTGCAGAGGAGGTTATATTTCTAGGTAAAGTTTTGGAAATGTCGATATTACAGTACTGGAGAGGAGTGGAGGTTATATTTTGTATTTCTAGGTATAATAGTCTTGGAAATGTCGAATGTCGATGTTACAGTAAAGCGTCCATACTTGAAAATATAGACAGTTTAAGATTGGGTTTTGATGATACTTCTTAACATTATGATAAGCCAAAAGGGTAGCAATTACAAATCTAGATGGTAGAGGTGAAGTACCTGAGATGTGACCCGAGTCTGATTCTCCATCACAGAAGCGCCCACGTGAGCAGGCAGCACAGGAATCCGTATCTTTACCACCTGAGTTAGTGTTGTGAGGGAGACAGTCATTATTATCTTAAGTTACTGTTAGTTTTTAACAGCCCTGTAGAGTGTAGATTCTTGGCAGAATTTGTCATAGTCGGCAGAAAATCTGTTGCAAAACTAAACGCCGCTACGTTTAGCTTAACTTATTTCTCTCCAACTAATCATAAAATGAGAGAATCTACAGGAAGATCTGACACAAAGAAACATTCTACAGACCACAAAGAATCACATATTTTACATACCGACAAGGTCCCTCATAAATCCGACAGGGCACCTCACTATCTGGTTCATGCCCGGACAGAAATGACCGACTGGACACTCGTGTCCGTCCTTGGTTGGAAGAGCTAACTCGTTGCAGTAGTAACCTGGAAGTTGAAGTGTTTAACATATTGTAGTGTTTTACATACTGTAGAGTCTAGTAGATTGAGTACAATGAGGGCGAAAGTAATCAACAAAAATACTGAATAAGCATTAACGCCAAACATGAACATTACAAAATAAAAAGCGACTCCAGAATTTCAATCATCTCCCAGAAAATCCAAACAAACTCTCTCTCTTATCTCTTAAAATCTATTATCTCCTCTCTTATATCTTATCCCTTATTATATATCCCTTATTATATATCCCGTATCTCTTATCTCCTATCTCCTATATTATCTTATCTCTTATATCTTATCTCTTATATCTTATCTCTTATCTCCTCTCTTATATCTTATCTCTTATCTCCTCTCTTATCTCTTATCTCTCACCTGGCGGACAAGGCACACAGGCGTCCTGCATGTTAGTCTGCCCCTTCTTATCGTTGTAGTACCCCACCGGGCAGGGTGTGGTATCACTATCTGAAGGACAGTACGACCCAGCTTCACAGGGGATACCTGTTATGGAACCTTCTGGACATTGCCAGCCTCTAGGGCACGCCTGAGAGGGGGAGTTGGTTGTTAATCTTTAAAGATATTGGTATAAAATTCGAGGGGCGGGCTTTTATTTCCACAGTTTTGCAGTTATAGCCTTGATTCTGTTACAAGAACACGTGCCAACTGCCAATGTGCCACAAACAATCTGCAGCCTTTATAATGTCACTCAAACTTACCAAACAATCAGTTGGATCATCGCCAGCAAACTTACCACACAATCAGTAGGAGCAGCTCCACCCGAAATGTTCCTATAAGTATCAACAGGACAAGGAACAGCAGCCTCCGAACCCGCCAGACAGTAGTGACCAGGGGGACAGGGGTAGGCGAGGTGGTTAGTGGTGTTGTAGGTGATGGTGGAGTAGGACTCGTAACTTCCTGTTACGCAGAGGTAACCTGCCCCGCACTCTCCTGAGGGTGGTGTTACAGGTGAGGTTAGTGTTACAGGTGAGGTTAATGTTACAGGTGAGGTTAGTGTTACAGGTGAGGTTAGTGATACAGGTGAGGTTAGTGTTACAGGTGAGGTTAGTGTTACAGGTGAGGTTAGTGTTACAGGTGAGGTGATGTATATTATTATATTATGTAATAAAAACGAGGTGGGGGAGAGAGGTTAGTTGGCTTGGTTTGTGTTTTGTAACCAAGTTATATTCTTATTGGTACATCATTCAGCCATAAGGAGCTAAAAAGCACTTTAAAAGAAGAAAATCTCACCAGTTATTTGGCCGTTAGTACAATATTTGCTGATAGGACAGACTTGACAATCGGAGGGTTTTCTGAGACCTCTTACATCATCTTCAGTGTATGTTCCCCTTTCACACAGTGGAGGTGGGTCTCCAGTTTCTGGGCGAATGGAGGAAGATTAGAATATTAGGAGGCAATGAAACTAAAGTGGGGAGGCAGTGAAACTATAGTGGGGAGGCAGTGAAACTATAGTGGGGAGGCAGTGAAACTATAGTGGGGAGGCAAAGAAACTAAAGTGGGGAGGCAATGAAACTATAGTGGGGAGGCAGTGAAACTATAGTGGGGAGGCAGTGAAACTTAAGTGGGGAGGCAGTGAAACTATAGTGGGGAGGCAATGAAACTATATATATAGTGGGGAGGCAGTGAAACTATAGTGGGGAGGCAGTGAAACTATAGTGGGGAGGCAGTGAAACTATAGTGGGAGGCAGTGAAACTATAGTGGGGAGGCAGTGAAACTAAAGTGGGGAGGCAGTGAAACTATAGTGGGGAGGCAGTGAAACTATAGTGGGAGGCAGTGAAACTATAGTGGGGAGGCAGTGAAACTATAGTGGGGAGGCAGTGAAACTATAGTGGGGAGGCAGTGAAACTATAGTGGGAGGCAGTGAAACTATAGTGGGGAGGCAGTGAAACTATAGTGGGGAGGCAATGAAACTATAGTGGGGAGGCAGTGAAACTATAGTGGGAGGCAGTGAAACTATAGTGGGGAGGCAGTGAAACTATAGTGGGGAGGCAATGAAACTATAGTGGGGAGGCAGTGAAACTATAGTGGGGAGGCAATGAAACTATAGTGGGAGGCAGTGAAACTATAGTGGGGAGGCAGTGAAACTATAGTGGGGAGGCAGTGAAACTATAGTGGGGAAGCAAGGAAACTATTATAGTGGGGAGGCAGTGAAACTAAAGTGGGGAGGCAGTGAAACTATAGTGGGGAGACAAGGAAACTATTATAGTGGGGAGGCAGTGAAACTATAGTGGGGAGGCAAGGAAACTATTATAGTGGGGAGGCAGTGAAACTAAAGTGGGGAGGCAGTGAAACTATAGTGGGGAGGCAATGAAACTATAGTGGGGAGGCAGTGAAACTATAGTGGGGAGGCAGTGAAACTATAGTGGGGAGGCAGTGAAACTATAGTGGGAGGCAGTGAAACTATAGTGGGGAGGCAGTGAAACTATAGTGGGGAGGCAATGAAACTATAGTGGGGAGGCAGTGAAACTATAGTGGGGAGGCAATGAAACTATAGTGGGAGGCAGTGAAACTATAGTGGGGAGGCAGTGAAACTATAGTGGGGAGGCAGTGAAACTATATTTAAAGAAAACTGTTGTTAAAGAAAACACACGCGCAAGTACACGAGGAGATAATAAAACACACGTGCAGATACTATTTACTAACCATGAGGACAGTAACTGTGAGGGAGACACTCCAACATATCCACAGCTCCTCTGGGACAATAGTGACTCTCCGTACAGTAGTTACACTGAGCCTGTCCCTCTTGTGGTTGGTACATTGAGGCGGGACACGGTTCTGGGGTACCTGTTTTAGGACCGCAACTGCAGGAGGGGTGAGTGTGAGGAATAGTGGCTTCAGAGATTTTATTAAATTGGTAAATCTAAGGAAAAGAATTATTAGTGCTAAGGATGGCCTGGCTGATCGCATGCAAAAGACTTATCTAATGAAATGAGTAATTCGTTATTCGTTAGTTATTATTATTCATTCGTTGTTTTTCATATGGATTTTCTACGTACATGACCAGTGGCGTAACGAAGGGCCCCGGCGCCAAAAGGGGAGGGAGCGACAACAGGGCTTACAGGGGGGCGCCAACAGGCAACGTTACGCCACTGCATACATCATGATCATGGTAGAGTTTTAGAAATAAAGCACGAGAAATCAATCAACTTGAAGAAGCAAAAGTTAGAGTTCACGTTAAATGGTGCATAGTATTCAGTAAAATATTTGAGTCCTGTAGACAAATAGCGGATCAGGAGATTTTATCGCACCGGAAAAGAACTATTAGTCCTCAAGAGGTCATCAGGAATGGCTCGGAGTCAAGACGACTCAAGAGACGCATACATCGATGTGTGTATCGATGAGAGTGAATTTTATGCATAAAGGGTGAACTGTACAGTGTACTCTCAAAGGTATTTTCTCGATGAAATGAACGGTTCATTACTCGTTATTTCTTACTCGTTATTTGTTATTTGATGCATAACGTTTCTGCACACATCATCTCATGGTTCTAGGAATGAGGCAAAAGACAAATATTTGTTAAATATTTGTTGAAACATGCAGAACCAAAAGTTCGAATTCACGGTTTATGGTGCCTTATAGTTCTCCGTTAGAATATATTATTTACATAAACGAGCTTCTGATACTCCGTTTATTTACATGTGTGACTTGTTTGATGTTGTTATTAATCTTTATTAAGGAAGACATCTTCTTAAGTATTCCAATTTTAAGCTTTGTTTTGTTTATTATTCGAATTCATCTTGTAGTGCATCTATCATTTCCTCTTTCAATTAAGAATTATATTTTATACCTTCCCACAAAATAGTTAAAAGTTTAATCCGTTCTTTACTTCTTATCATTCATTAATCGTAATTTACAATCATTTACAGCCATAACAGTTTTTCTTGAAAAAAAAAACCAAAAACAAACTACCAAAGTACCAAGACTTCAGAATGTCAAATTAACGAACCTGTGGCCCTTTGGGCACTTGAGATGTTCAGGAGAGGAACTCCCCCCAGGACAGTAGAACCCACGTGTACATTCCAGAGAGGGAGTAACAGTACCTGAGTTACAGTAGTACCCTGCTGTGCAGTCCAGACAGTCCTCAGCTGCTGCCGCTCCTGTTTTGTCGTAGTATGTACCTGAGAGAGAGAGTAGTGGTTAATGAGATGTTAGAGTGAAATAGTCTAGGGTTTGTGTAAGCAGTGATTAATTGAGATGAATTTAGGGTAATATTGTGTAATATGTAGATAGTGTAATGATTATAATAAGGCGGTCGTGGGGTCCAGTATGTGACGGTAGTATTTTGGGCATATATTAGTAGACGACAGTTATTGCAGTTTAAGTGCAGAGAGGTCAGTTTAACATATGTTGGGTCAGTACGAGGTTGAGTTATGGAGTGTTTACAGAATACTAGTGTTACAATGTTGTGGCTATCGACAGGACAGTTTGAGATTCCTGGAAAATAATAGGGTTAGCCTTTTGAGGATAGCGGAGTGCCAGTTTACCCGATCGAGAGGGGGGTCATTTTGATACCGGGGAGGTTCTGTAGCTAGAACCTGTTAAGGTTAGGTCGTTTAGTTAGGTAGATGGTTATAGTGGTAAGTATAATATTGGCGGCCGTAGAATAGTGGAGCATTACGTAGTTACTATTATCAGGCTTGGTTGTGGCCGGGGTCAACAATGGTTGGTCCGACACCAGGGGATGTCTTGACAACACTGGGCTCTGGCAGAGCGAGAGTCAGCAATGGTTGACTCAGATAGGTAAAGCTAAATTAAGAGTAAGAGCCCGGGAGAAATAGTCAGCACTGGTTGACTTAGACAGATAAGGCTAGACTAAGAGTAAGAGCCCGGGAGGAATAGTCAGCACTGGTTGACTTAGACAGATAAAGCTAGACTAAGAATAAGAGCCCGGGAGGAATAGTCAGCAATGGTTGACTCAGATAGGTAAAGCTAGACTAAGAATAAGAGCCCGGGAGGAATAGTCAGCACTGGTTGACTTAGAACAGATAAGGCTAGACTAAGAGTAAGATGGTGTAAAAACGAAACGGCTATTACACGGCAACCGGCTTGACTGGCCTTAACGGGGCGCTCCCTGGTCAAAGGATAGGGCGACTAGAACTAACTGAACCTGAATTAAACAAGGTCTAAAACCTAATAAACTGCTTGTATGCCGTCGGGATGGGCGTAGTCCAGGCAGGTGATGTCCCCTCCTTCAGTTTTATTTCAGTCTCAAACTCTGTACAACACCCGATATCAAACTCGTTTCTTGAGAAACACCCTCTATGCTCCCAGATTATCTGCTCAAGACGCTCCCGGTCACTAGCTGTCATCTCTGCTTCAACCTCGCTAAGTCTTAAGCTCTCGAACAGTTCCCTCTTAGTCCACTGGTCAGTGCAGCTGCTATCCGGTACCCTCTCGCTACCTGTAGCGTCCTGAATTCCGGAAACGTCCCTGTGTATCGCTTCAGCCTCAGGCTTTATTATCTTAACACCGTGTATCATGTGATGATCCCCTAGCGGTTTTAAATGTCCTATGACAGTGTTTCTAAATATTTGAATGGGCCTGTCGGTGGCGTTGATGCATTTCACCGGGACAAATTTACCGCGGGAGTGGACTACTGCTGTAGCCATCAAAATGCCTGTACGCTGCAACCCATTTCTACAATGCGGTTCCATGATGCCCTGATAACTTCCGCCCTTTGCCTGGATTCGGCCTCCTACAAATTGGGCTGTGTTTGGCGGAATCACAGTCACCTTCGCACATCTGATCTTGAGCCGATCCTTCACAGTTACGTTAGTAGGCTTCTTTCTGAATCCGATACTATTGCCGTCTTCCAGGGTTAGTTGGCATTTCTTATAGTCTAATACTATCTTATTGGTCCTGAGAAAATCATCCCCTATAAGAAATTCAGTATCTAATAGGTCTGTAACTATGAAATCATGAGAAAAGTGACCTCCAGCTATTACAATGTCCATCCGAACATGGCCCTTGATCGGAATCGTGTCCTGAGAAAACGACTTCAGAACCATCTTACAACTACCAACGTTCTCCTCCAACCCAAGCTTTTTTACCAGCCCCGTAGAAACAATGCTAACAGCTGACCCACTATCTACGAAAAAGAGGACATCAGCACCTCTGCAAAGGCCTTGAATCAGAATATGTTTCCACGACACTGCATTAACCTGACTACTATCTGGCTCTAATTCTAGAACCTTCCTCCGCGACTGTAATTGGTCAGGTTTGAACCAGCCGCGTACCCGTTTAAATGCTCATTCTGGTAGTTCATCTGTTGGTGTTGTTCCGGTACCCTCTCATCCTGGCGTTCAACCCGACTTCCCCAAGTACCAGATCTATTTGACGGACAGTCTCTCCTGTAATGTCCCACTTGCTGACAACCATAACATACGACAGCTCTCCCTCTTGGAGCTGGAGGTGCAGTGGAGTTTCCCGTCCTATATCCACCTCTTCCTCTATTGGGAATGCTGGCTGTACCCATCTCTCTACAAACTCGGGCAACATGCCCAGTCTTGTCACACAACTGACACGTGATTCCTGCCCAACAGTTTTCTGACACGTGACCCGATTTACCACATTTCTGACAGCCTGTACTTCCCGGTACTGGTTCGCTCCCAACTCCGAACAATGGCATTCCAGAGAACTCCTCCACCGGTGAAACACTGTCATCTTGCTCCTCCAGAGCCTGTGAGATGTGCTCCTCTTGCACTGCGATCTGTGTCACGTGATCCAGATTTTCATCTTCACTGTCTCCCATCTGCAACAGTCTACGTTTTATCGCTGTGTTAGATAAACCAGAAATAAAGGCGGTCCAGCGGCTCCTTCTCGCTCTAGTCTTGACGAGAATATAATCTCTGCGCTGTCACGTATTCGCTCCGAAAACTGTTCGACTGACTCTCCTGTCTCCTGTTTCATGCGACCAAACTTAGTCCTCATTATCCGGGTGTCAGTCGATGGGAAAAGCCTAGTCTTAATGGCAGAAATAAATCTCTTAATATCTCTTTTTTCATCCCCAGTAAACTGAAAGTTAGAGATCTTCTTGAACAGAGAATTGTCCTCCACTAATCCGCTGATTCTGAGATCTAGGTTGTCACATATACCGGAGAGTCTGACATGATGCTCAAAGCGTAGCAGAAAGGTACTAAAATCATCCCCCTTTCTGTAACGAGGAGCTTTACTCCCGTGGAACTGACGTGGAGCTCTCTCCTGTGGCCAACTCAGCTCTGGTGAGCCCACACTAACTTCAGAGTCGTCATGTAACCATTCAGCAGCTTCCTTTTTGACAGCTGGTCTATTGAGTTCAACCTTAGCATTGACCGTCATATTAGTCAACCTTTCTGTGTTCTCAGCCAGGGAATTCCCTATTCGTTTCAACTCTTTTTCCATGTCATACAATGCGATTTTCCTCTCACTGATAGGACCTATATCATCTGGTTCCAGTTCATTAAGACTGGCCTCAGCCCTACTGATTTGTTCTTCCAGATCAGCTCTTTGTTTCTTCAAGCTTGTAATATCCGCCTGCAGCTCTAGTGTACTACCCTGACTTTCCATAATAACCACTTATTACGGCCTCCAGATGGTGTAAAAACGAAACGGCTATTACACGGCAACCGGCTTGACTGGCCTTAACGGGGCGCTCCCTGGTCAAAGGATAGGGCGACTAGAACTAACTGAACCTGTATTAAACAAGGTCTAAAACCTAATAAACTGCTCCCGATAAACGAGGAGTTAAATAAACGCAACTGTATAAAACGAGCTACGGATGCACCTGTCTGAAACAAGATACAAACCTAATATTTAAACTCCCGGTAAACGAGGCGATGAGGACTCAGCAACTCGCGGTAGTGGCTGCACGTAGATCTGACAGTGAACTCCGGTGAGCTGCGATGTGGTGACTCAGTCTGTTTAAAAACAAGAAAGGTGGAAGGCTGCCGGAGTTTGTATTTTAAACAAGACTTAAATTTAGTGTACTGTACCAAATAAAACGCTCTCGTATAACGGTCGAAAACTTTATAACTCAAAACCCGACGAATGCCCGGTTACATTTACAGAAGTGTCTATTTCCCAAAATCTCTCCCTTATCTCTAAAAAAAGGGCTCGTAACAATGTGATAAATAAACAAACGGCCGAACGAACTAAAGATAAGAAAGTAAATGTACGAATATGAAATAGAAACGTGAGATAACATTAAAATAAAAGTGGCAAAAAAAACGATGAATTAAATATTAAAATGTGAAATAAAACCTAAACTGAGGACTACAAAACTACACCAAAGAGCCCGGGAGGAATAGTCAGCAATGGTTGACTCAGATAGGTAAAGCTAGATTAAGGGTAGGATTAACGGCAGGAAGTGTGTTGCGTAATATTTGAGGCAGTATGAATCGGAGTAATTAGGAATTTGTTGCATAGTATTTGAGGCAATATGAGTCTAAGTGACTAAGCGTTGGTTGAGCAAATATTCGATTATTCATTGTTCAGTTAAGTACCTTGGGCACCTTTATTATACCCCTTGTTTGCATTCTCACCCTATTCGATAGAGGGTCATGGTTGATACCGGACTAGTGTAAGGGACCAGGACCAGTTATGGTTGGGGCCTGGTGAGCACGGATGGAACGTGTCGTTAGAGGTTTAGAATCGACAGTGGTTGTTTCAGGGCACCTAGATTAGGCACGGTCAAGTCGAGTTGACCGTGCTATCCGTGTTTTATGTTGCATCACTAGATCGCTGGGCGTTTATGGGCGATACGAGTCTGGTTAATTAGGATTTGAAGTAGAGGTTGTCGAATTATTCATTGTGTTGTTTCATAGTTTAATTTTGTTTACCCTTTATTATCACGCTCGTTTCCATTGTCCAAACCCTTAATTAAATGCAAATAAACTTCGAACCGGGAAGCAAGTGTCGACTGCTTACATTTGTACAGTTTATACACAGATTTAGTGCTAAAAGTCGTGAATTGGCAGGATTGCTGGTCACAGAATTGGGTTTGATTTGAAGGTGTAGAGTTAGGTCACAGAATTGCTCACAATGAAAGTTATCTAACATTGCAAACAAAATCTAAACTAAATCAGTTTTAGAGAAAAAAACATACCAGCAGGACAAGGGTTCTTGATTCCGTCCTCACAGTAGTGACCCGGCGGGCACTTGCCATTACAGGAACTGTTGGTGATTTTACAGTCGTACAGAGGATCAGCTACCTGGAAAAACCGAGTGGTGTATTTATATTGTGCGGGAATAAAAATAATATTGTCTCTAATTTTTAAGAATTTTGATATGGTGTATATTTGATGCTTCTGAACTGCTGCTTTCACTGCCCGTGTGCTAAAAAGCGACAAAACTCTCAAACCAACCAAATTACCTTAGCGCCTCCCCCACAGTAATGCCCATCTTTACAAGTTTTAACAGACTCCTGCTGGCCAGGCTCGTCACAGTAGTAGCCTTGTTTACAAGGTAAACAGGAGTCGTCCGTGGCAAGGTTTATCACGTCCGAGTAGGTGCCCACTGGACAGGGGGTCTTGGTTTGTCCTGGAAATTGTTATATATACACTTTGTTATACGTATATATTACACTTTGTAATATACACTTAAATAAGTAAATAGGACGCTAAATGATGAGGTGATAAAGGGGAATTGTCACAGTGTTTTTCTCTGATAGGTAGAATTCTGGTCATGAAAACTAAATTACATGAGGCACCGGGCATGGTCATTAAAAAATAAAACATAAAAATGTAAATAAAAAAACGTAAATTAACACTATGTTGTTGACTAAAAGAACAAGTAAACCCACAAACCTGAGAGACAATAATACCCGGGAGGACACTCTTTTGCCTCGGACATACCCGGCTTGTCACACTGCCTGCCTTCCTCGCACGGGAAACAGTCCCATTTTCCTGGGTAAGGTGTTGATGTGTGATTCAGCGACTAATGTTTTTTTAGGAATTGAGGTTATCATATTCAGCGACTAGCTTATTTAACAGTTAGCTTATTTTCTAAGTAGCTAATTTGGCAGTAACATTATTTAGTAGTATGAAATATGCATATAATCTACTTTTTAGCTGACTTAGTAATATAATTACTAAGTGATTACCTCTCATCAAAATCCCATCACCATTGAAATTAAATAATCAAGGAACTAGGAAATTGATATTCAATGAGGAAATGTATTATTGTAAAAAATGGTAACAGCAACCCGAAACATACCTTGAGCAGGTTGGTAACTGTTGACAGCACATGGTGTTGGGGTGGTGCTGCCAGCCAGACAGTACGAGCCTGCCGGACAGATGTAGCCCCTGACTGTATCAGTAGGGTTGGGAATATCACTACCACTTACACAGATGTAACCCCGCTCACAGTCACTCTCAACCTGTAACCAAGTAAAGGTGAAGTTTTGAATATGTGAATACGTGTTTAGTCCTAATTGAATTGGTTGATAGGGAAAAGGGAGTTACTGTGTGGTGCAGGCCATTCCAACGACTAGGAGGAGATTTTTTCAAGTACAGGGAGATAGGGAATCTAGACGCTTTTCTTAAAACATTGATTTTCATATTTATCCACTACAAAAAGGCTTAGTGAGACGTTAAAAGAATAGCCCGCGAAAGGGAAACTAAACAGACTGGAACTGGGGAGAATTATAAGAAAAAATGGCCAAATTACATCGGCAGAGGTGGCCCCAAGTTGGTCACAGTACTTCCCAGGACCACACGGAGTACACCCGGTTTCCCCAGTAGCTGCAGTGAGTTCCTCCTCTGTGGAGTATGTTCCTGAAAGTACAAGCTGTTAATGAGGATATTCATTATGGGAAGGTTCATTACTATCGGGATCTTGTTTCAAAAACTGTGAATTTGTTAGTATGTAATTTGTTTATTATATAAAAATCCTGACATTATTTTTTGCATCACCTTGTATATAAACCTTCACAAAATAAACTAACCCTTAGGACATTGTTCAGGCTGAACACTTCCAACCGGACAGTAATGTCCGATGGGGCACTTCCTGTTTCCTGTGTATTTCCCGTTTCCGTCCTGAGTAGCAGTTTTTCCTGGGGAGGCTGTTGTAGCTCCGCCCGTACAGTAGTGACCTGAGTGTTGGAGATAAATATAGGAAACCTAGGGTTTAGTGTATGTTAATCTAGCTCTAGTCACGTAGCACGAACGTTGGAGATACTTTAACTTACAGTGCTGATCTTAAGGGTTGGTTAATTTGGGTTTATAAATAATTAGCGAGACAACGATTACGTAATTACACCACAGTGTAATTACGCAGGTTGGAAATTAAACAAGAATGTTGTCAGAATGTTGTTTCTATGAGCATGCAGATGTCAGTGTGTCATCAGTCAAACATAATTTCAGTTGGATCTCGAAGTCAAAATGAAAATGTTGATGGCCCGTTAGATTTTATTGAGAAATAGGAAGCAACAACCAAGTTACAAAGTATTTGCGATTGAAAATTGTCTGAAACTTTAATTTTTAGTGTCCTCAGATCAATAAATCAATACAAACAAACAGCTTCAGTCAATAAGTTGTAAATTCAGGGCTACCTCACAATGTCACTAAAGTCTGATGTGTATAAATAAATAGTAAACAAATAAATTACTCTTAAATAAAAGGTTTTTTACCACACTAGATAATTGTGTTAACATTTGGGGTCGTTGAATGGAAATGTTTTCGATGTAGCAGCATCGATGATGAATTTATATTTTCTCGTTTGAAGATTTTATTTTGGGATTCCCGACCAAATACCTCGATTATATAATTACAGTGGGGCTAAATCCATAATCAATCGCTTTCCTGAAGCTGCACGAATACGAGTGGAGGTTGAAGTGGTGATTGAATTAAAAAACTCTGCTCGATATAATTCTAGGGAAATAAACATGCTAATAATAAAGTCCCTAGTCGGGAACAGGTTTATGAAGAATATTGTCTAACTTTTTACACTTATCAAATTTACATAAGGTTAGGCAATTTCTCGTGCGGACAACTCCTCAATAAATAATAAAAATTACTCTCACACACTCTTTTTATTGTAAAATCCGGATTGAGTATTGTTTATGAGTATATAACAAATACTTTGAGATCATGAATACGATGTTGTAACATTGAAACGTTGAGTAATTCCTTTCTTATAGGAGCATTTTTCCTTGTCGCATCAAACGGGATCAATGCAAATTTACACAAGAATACACTATTTTTATTGTGATAAGACCGCACTGGTCAAAGTTATATTCGATGATGCCGGAACTCAACTCAACCTAGTTTTACTTTATTTGTTTTCTATTTTATTAGATTTTCATTAATTTTCACGATAGTGTTTAAGTGACATACCGTTATAGAACTCGTTAATATGTGACAGCAAGAATTCTAGTTTACATTTTAACGACTTTTATGGTCCAATCAAAACCTTTCTTTATATTTTTGATAATTTCTTCCGTGAGTCTTATGACCGCACGTGCATATTGGGCAAAGCTTATTCATGGAGAGACATTGCCAAAAGTCACAAACTGTTGTGGTGATTATGTTTGATTATTTTATTCGACTATAAAGGAGGGTGTCACCTAGTTTGACAGCTCACTGACATTTTGAAGTGACACCCTTGCCAAAATATTGATAAAAAGGGCGAACCTACCACTAGATAAAAAGGTATACCTAATATCATTATTCAGTTCTTGTATTGAACTGCACTTTGCAGTAGTTGGCGTTTAGCCTCAATCACACTGGCCAATATAATAATAACGCTACCTAGCAGCCAGACCTATGATCTGAAACATAACTAGCTACCGATAAGATGAATATAATAAAACAAATATTTTAATAAAACAAATATTTCTTTTTACGGCACAATCAAACAATATCAATAATAAATAAATCAGGGGAGGTTTGAAGAGGTTTCAAGTGCCGAAGGCCACTGCTTATCTTTAGGATTTGAGAGTGACCTGTGCTTGAAACCCCCTCAACCATCCACTACGTCAATACCTATACTTATTATACAAATATAGAAAAATATAATTATCTAAGCTAAAATTGCTTATTGGTCTAGTTTGGTGACATAGGAGAGCCCAGTTGAGTTTTAGTTTAGGTTTATGTTTTAAATCATAGTTTGAAAGGTTAGCCATGTTTCATGGCAGAGAGAGATATCATGTGTGCAGAGCCGTACCGGATGTAGTATTTGAGATATAATACAGATTAGTTACCATATATTAGGGTCACCTCGATTTTGGAGGGATAGCAAGTGCTTTTTAAGGTTAGATTTAATAATACCTGACGAGGCTGATAAGTCTGAATTTTTGGAAGAACCCGGGATTATTATCCCATCTACATTAGCATCACATATTTCGAATACATAGGGGATGAGATCATTCCATATTTTCGTAGAGGTGTACAAAAAGTTCTGTTGGGAGATATCTAACCTCAGTAATGGGACAATCAGACGAAGTTTTTCATTTCTAGGACAGAACTTGAAAAGATCTTTAATCGACTGGGGGACATCAAATTTAAGAATTTTGAATAGCCTCATAAATGTATGGTACATATGCAGATTCTCCAGGTTCATAATTTTCTGCTCAGTGAATAGCGGTTTAGTGTGTTCAAGACAGTAGTTCTTGCTAGCCATATGTTCGTTATAAGTTCTTGAACGTGCACAGGTTAAGTAGTATTCTTTATGATCAAAATTGGGAATGTTACCAAATAGCAGTCTTATACATCGTTTTTGAATTGCAAAGATTTTATTCAGTTTATGTTTAGGGATCCCACCCCAGCAACTTATACAATAGCTAAGATGTGACATAAAAAGAGCATTGTATAGTTTCAAATATTCAGATTTGGGAATGAATTTGCAAATTTTCTTAATCGATACAATACTGGAGTTCAGCTTTAAAGATAAATGATTAAGATGTGGTTCCCAACATAGCTGTTCGTCTATTATCACCCCAAGAAACTTTGTACATTGAACTTTTTCTAGCTTTTTGCCATCTATTGAAATCGTTAGATTCCTGTTAAAGGGCCGTGTTCTAGCACAGGTCTGTGTTGCTCTTGACAAACCTGGCTGAAAATGCATAAAACAACTTTTCCCTGCATTTATATGTAACTTGTTAGACTCCATATAGTTACTGACTTGTTTCATGACATGATTAGCTTTTTCAAAAGCTTCCTGTGCTGAACGACCTATCACAAAAATATTTGTATCATCAGCAAACAGGACGAATTCAGCCAAACTTGAGGAGCTCACAATATCATTAATATAAATCAGAAATAGTAGAGGTCCTAACACTGACCCCTGGGGTACACCATACTCAACTGAACACTTGTCCGATTTTTCAGTTTGAAAAGAAGTTACTTGGCTACGGTTTGTTAGATAGCTAGCAAGAGTTTTTAGTGCAATACCTCTTACTCCATAGTGTTCAAGTTTATGCAGGATCACACACTTCTGGTAACCAGGTAACCAGGTAACCAGGTAACCAGGTAACCAGGTAACCAAGTAACTGCAGGTAACCAGGTAACCAGCTAACGATAAGATGAATATTGAATATAATATCACACACTAGTTTCTGTGGAAGGCTTACGTCGGTCGCACTACTCGCTCTCTACGGCTTAGGACTGGAGAACATAGGGTCGAATTAAATTCCTCTAATATCACACACTTCTGCTTTATCAGGCCCATTTTATTATTTAATCTCATAAACCTGAGTGAGCACGAGCCCTTTGACATTTGAGAACACAAGATAACCTGACCATCCCAAATGGTCATTGATAATACTACTAGTTCGGTCATTTATGCACATAATGGGCTCCAAACCTGCAAATTCCCTGCTACTTCTAAGACTTGGAACAGAAATATTTATTTTATCATGGGCGTAACCCAGGGGCCACGCCTCAGGTCCAAGGGTATCTCAGCTTCTGAATATCTTAAAAACTTCTGGAAGGACTTGAGATAAGCCGAATCTGCATATTTATATACGAGTTATTAATAAACATTTTGACTAAAACCTTGAATTTTCGAGAAAATCGCCATACACCATTTTGGGTGTGGCGGCGTGCCCAATTTTGATAATATATTTTGAAAACTTATTATAACACTATAAATCTATAGCATTTATTGAGTATTATGTAATGGGATGGAAGTGCATAAACCAGATGTAGCCAGACCACACCCTGGCTCCATAATATGATGGACGTGTTTTAATTCCAAATAAAAAGCTCAGATATATCAAATTTCGACTTTCATTGCTCTTACAATTCTGCGAATCCCTTTATTCCCAATATCTATGCATATTCTGGTTTTATAATATACTAAATTCGATCAGTATATTTAGTTCTAACTATAAACTATTGGTAAACAAAACAAATATGTGTCTGAATCTCTATAAGTTCTGATTATCATAGTCTAGGTGTCGTAAGTATTTGTAGGATGAGTCGTAAAATCATTGGAAAATCTCCAAGATAAAGAGTTTAGAGTATGGAATCAGATTTACGATTGAATTATGGATTCAACTACTTATGAAGATATAGTCCAAAAGAATGCAAATCTTATTAAGAAGCAGATCTTGGCTATTTTTATTTCTCTTTTCAATGTTGGGACGGTGTTTTTGTGTACTCATAATAATTCATCTATTCTTAAGCCAGGACAGAATAATAACTCAGGGGCTTTGTAAAATGGGAATTATTAGAAATTAATTATCAATCAAATACATTACTCTTAATTTATCATTATAACTTTTATAATAGAACAAATCATGTATATTTATTTTATCACATGACTTTCCTTATAGACCAATACTTGATGCAATCGATCTGAAGTGTATTGACTCAAAAGTATGTTTCTGTTTTTAGCTACATTAAAATATTTAGAAATGTTCGAATTTTAAACCCATGCAAAAGCTTTACAGTTTTTAACGGTCACTCTTTTTCAAAAACGTTTTATTGAAGAAGAATTGATGGTGTTAGCGTAACCGAAAATTCAACTCGTTTATAAAATTAGTCAAAAAAATACATCAAATTCGACCAAAATAAGTTGCTCAGAAAAATCAATCAATATTATGATCGCGGATTATTATTAGATTGCTACAATCTTAATCGTAAATAATATACATTATGGGCCGGTCATTGAGTCCCCGGTAGAGTCAATTAGTCCAATCATCAGCACCTAGGAAGTTAGGATAGCCGCACAGTCATACACATCTTTCCGGCCACGGACCCCGGACCAGGCTCTGACAGACACACTTCCTTTCATCTCGAATCTCTATCAGCCTAAAAATATCTTGCACTGGCAATAAAAGATCTTCATCTCGGCTTTGCCTCATCAGTCGTAAAATTTGTCGTTCATCTCAGTGAGCCTGACAAACTCCATCATTTGCTCCGTGGAGGATGAAGCCAGACAGTTAACGATCACAGTGCGGCCCTTCATGAGGAATTTAGGCGCGTTGACGGTAACAGAGTATGAGGCAGAGTAGCCTGCGGGAAGTAGGACTGGGTTGCTCCTCACCATCTTGGAACGTTTCAAGGAGGGGTGTTTCAGTTTGGGGTCACCTACTTCAATCTCGTAGTTCTCCGAATTGGAGCACACCAAAGTGAAGACATCGTCGACTGGACTGTTGTTGCTTAGCTCGAAAGTGAGGCTGGTTTTGGTTTTTGGGAAAAGAGCGTAGTAGTTTCTGACCTGAGTGATACGGAAGCAGGAGGAAGTGGGGTAGAAGATAGCCGTGGAAAGACGCTGGAACTTGGAGCCCCTGAGGATGTCACCCTCCAGAAGGACCCTGAAACCGTCAGTTCCCATGTTGGCAGGCAGGTGGAGTCTTACTGTGTAGGTGTTACTCGAGCCACGTGAGGCTTGTAGACGTGTGGTCATGTGGATGTAGTTTCCCGACAGTCCCACTATCTTGGCAACCAATGTTTCCGGCACAACTTGTGATCCTTGGTTGAGCTTTATTACGAGGTACTCTTCAACTTGGAGACATGGGACATAGTTGGCGTTTTGAGATCCAGCCACGTCATCAACGAAGTAAGCATCAAAGGATAGAGTGTATTTGCCCATACTAGCGACTGAATATGAGAACTCAGTGGCATCAGTTGGATAGGCCAGAGTCCAATTGCCAACACAAGGACACTTCGTGGATTTAACATTGAATATCACACCATTATCAGCTACCGACTTGGTCTGCTCGTAGTTGGAGTCAGCACATAGGGTTGGATCTCCGTTCAGAGGTCTCAGAAGCTCTACTTGCTCGGCGAGTTCTTTGGGCGATATAGCGACGGATACCTTGAAGTTCTCGATCAGCTCATCAATCTGGATGTTCTTTTTTGAGGAGTGACCGTTGACAATGTTGTCTTCTGTGTCACGTTTGTGCACGCTTGACCTTCTGCTTTGAGTGACATATGGACCGAAACCCTGACCTATCTTAGAGTTGGTCTCATACGAATCTTCTCCCACTACCAGTGAGCTGCTCTCGAAGGCTCCATGTACCGTGTCCGTTATGTTATACACAGCGTTATCTCTGACCAGAAGGCAGAACCCACCCGTTTGTTGGGCGATCTTGGCGTAGTGAGGGTCAATGTTGGTCCTGCAGCTGTCGAAGAGTATGAAGAAGGCAGATGCTTTACAGAATTGGAAGGATCGGATGATGTTGTAGGAGAGTCGTTTACAGTCCTTGCTTCCTGCATCGGTGAAAATGTACATCGCTGCGTTACCTGCGAGGAGATGTTATTTAAAGATCTTCAAACATTGGAGAACAAAGTTGTGATGAGTTTATAAGCGTTAAGCTATCTCTCATTCTGACTATCCGTAGCTATGTTTTCAGAGATTAGTCCGAAGTCAACAATCAACGTTTTACTGCGCTTAATCCAAATTGAAATGCCTTACCTTTTCTAATAAAGTTAGGGTTATACATTGCTCGGAGCATGCCCAGACACGTCTTTTCCTCACAGTCACCACCAATCTTAGCTTCCAGACTGTCAAGGTGAGTCATAAGTCCGTCCTTAGTGTTGAAAACCTGCGAACAAAACGATCAAATATTTATGTAAATTGTATAACAGTATTCCATGTATAACGCAGGGGACAGAGAAAAAAAATCCTTGAAACAAAAGATATCATTGTGTCATGTGTGTGTCTGTGTCTGTGTCATTGTGTCATGATAACTTTAAAATTCAATAATAAGCTTCGTACTCCGGGTAAGGAACATACCCGAGTTTGTCCAATGTTAGGATCAGAGAAAGTGGTGACAATATACGTGGCATCAACTTCGGACCGGGTCTGTTCCACCAGCAGTTGTCTGATGTACCTTTTCACGTGCCCTAAATCGTTGGCCATACTGCTTGAAGAGTCAATAACGAAAGCCATCGTCACCTGAAGGAAATTTGGATTGAGTAAAATGTACTAGCTGGACAACAAGCAAATAAAAGACAAATAAAAGATTTAAGTGTTCCACCGCCCAAGTTTAGTTGTAAGGTCGTACATAAAATTTAAAATAATTAAATCTCACCTTTCTTTTTAGATGAAGCAGCTGGTTGAAGTTTTGACTTCCCATAGTCCTCCTAAATTCCAGGAACAAATCAGCAGGATCCCAGATATCAATAGTATCACCGGCGGGCTGGGTATCCAAATCATTATATCCAACACTCCTTCTTCTTCGGGTATGGAAGTTTTCCAGCGCACTGGCAGCGCGTCCGAAACCTTCCTGCGCAACAAGATAGCTGCCGAACTGAAACGCCGCCGTGGAGACGTTGAAGAACTTGATGGCATCCTCACGGGTTTTTTCGTTGATAGATGTCATCTGGACATACTCCAGGAAGTTAGCCATATCCAGGAAGTTGTTCTCCTCCGGGACTTCTTTGGCATCGTTAGGTGTAGTGTCGTCTCTGTTACATCGCTCTACTTGGAATCTGTTTTGTTCTGGTATCTTTTCATAGAAGTCCGCGTGTGCTTTGTTCAGGAGGTTCCTGGTTTCACTACGTGGACTGAGGACACAAATATTTATTGAGAGGGATATTTAAAACATTATGAGCTGGAAAAATACTTTTATCTTATTAATATGTTCAATGAGAATAAAAAAGAACAGTTACAAAAAAATTTGTCTCACGTTAGTGTAAATTATAAAGATTATTTTATTATTTGCTTACCTAAATAATTGGAGAGATGAAACCACTTCGAGAGTGATGAGAAGAGTAAGCAGCAACTTCATCGTTTATCTATAAGCAGTCAAATAATGTTTAGAGCATATTGCACAATCTCAGATAAGGAAGAAATTGAAATAAACGAATCTTCTACTTCTAGTGCTGTATTGCAATTCAAGAATGCATGAACCGTGCGACTGAGCAAAAATAGGGGAGCAAACATACTGAATTTCCTCGAATATAAGATTAAGGAAAGAATCACGACTAATAAAAACGTTTAAAAAGCTGATATGGATAGGAATCGTATTACCAATACAAGGTATTCAAGATAATAAGGTTCGGTGGAATCAAAGATTCTGATTTTTCTTAAAATTTAATATAGCAACAAAGAAAAGTGCCCAAATGAAAAAGCAAATATCAATTAATAAAGACTGCTGAGTTTTAGTATATCCTTGGTAGTATCCACCACAGGGAAGATTAACTTGAAGAAAACCGAATTAAATCAATACAGAATAAAGCCTTGACCTGCCGCTCTCCATCAGGCAGAGAATTAGAATAGGCCGAAAGTTCTCGAACAAGTAAGAATTTCCGAGCCTCAAAACCTAACAAAATGAAGCCGGCACTTGTCTTTCGCGGTCAGTCTCCGGCTAAGAAACTGCCTAAATTTGTCTAGTAGGTTAAATTAGGGGACTTATTATTAGTCTCGGTTAAAAGAACACCGGAGGTTGATTCACACCAGACATCCTCTGCCGCCAAACTAAACCCACCAAAAACTACTCAACAAAACGGCCAACTTGGTTTTTATAGCAGTCGAAACCTGCTGCACAATCACCGAGCGCTCACGGAAGCAAACCCGAGAAATCAACTAACGGAGTCACGGCGACTCCCTTCTCTTTGTAACCCTGCACCGCTAACCCGCTCGAGTCAGGGCCGTGAACAGTACCTGAGCACCCTCTGTAATCTGATTATATGTCATGCGGCGGAGGGTGATAACGAGTATTATATGTGTAGGCTATTTTTGTGAGATCTCCTTCCCGATAATTATCCGACTTCCGGGGGGGGTGTTGTGACGTCACGAGGTGTGACGTCACGAGAGAGACAGAGCTGTGGTGTTGTGACAGTTGGTCAGGGTAAGCCACAGAGAGGGTGCTTAACGTTCTTATCGGAGTTATTATTACGGGATTATTAGATAAAGATGGTAACAACTCCGTCATTATCCAGGATTAGAAGTAAGTTATCGTGATGAGTTGATTAATGACGGGGACGTTTGTCACAGTGAGTCGTAGTGTTTCTAAAAATAGATCGTTACACATCGCAGCCTGACGGATCTAATGACCAGAGATTACCTGTGTTTGTTGTATCGGTAAAAACGGATACACCGACAAAAGAAAATTAAAAAATATAACGCGAATAGACTAGAATTACGGGCATGCACGGGACGAGATTTTAGATTGAGGAATACTAGGATATCATTTGGAGTTTCTGAAGAATTTCTCATGGTTCCGATGTGCACAAAAAGTATTTTTATTTTAGATTACTGAAACGTTATGTTCCGACTTCACCTTAGGCAGCTTGCTGAATCTCCTTGACTCAAACCCTTTTGGAGCCACTGATTTTCAAGCCAGGCTCCGTAAAAAAACTTATTTCATCAACAATTATTATAACAAAATAAATTTTCTGCGGGGGTTTAAGGGGACATACACCAAAAGCTTTTATGCCCTGGCCCTGCTGTTAACGTCATATTAAGAAAGTATACATAAAAACAATAAGATTTGATACATTAAAAATTATTTTTGAGGACCCGCACTTTCGAAAAAATAAATATTTTCTTTTTCGAAATTTTTGGAAATTTTGAGAAGTCTGTCACTGTAATACCGATATTTCGGTCATTTTAAAAGTCATTTTAAAAGTCATTTTAAAAGTCTTTTGGCTGATTTTGTTACTGAAGATTACTTACAATCCGTACAAGAAGCCCTTCAAAGGATTTTATAATTAAAATATAGATGACGAAGTTACAGACCAAACAAGGTCGAGAGAAGCAAAATTGAAATTTTTGTAAAAATCAAAGTTGTATATTTTACCATTCACCCAGGTCATAAGATATCGCTTCAAAAATTCTTGTGAGTGTAGCTGATGATCATATCCAACTTTTTGGAACAGGATTTCTCTCAATTTTGAGTTTTAAGGTATGAAATGTGGCCTCAAACGACTTAGTAAAATTCATCGTAAAAAGGGTCAAACATGGCAGATTTAAGGCTTAAAATGCCTATAACTCAAAAAGTATCAGTTTTTTTGAAATAATTTTTACAGAATCGTAATCAGCTTGAGAAGACGAATCTTTTAGTACCAAATAGGTGATTTTAGAAGACAAATTGTCTGAAATAATTTTCTAGCTCGAACACAAGGGTCCCCCCTTGTATAAATTTTGTACAAATTGTACACATTTTTTTACAAATTTTGTGTCCTAAACTATTATAAATTTGGTACTAAAAGATTCGTCTTACCAAGCTGATTACGATCCTGTAAAAATTATTTCAAAAAAACTGATACTTTTTGAGTTACAGGCATTTTAAGCCTTAAATCTGCCATGTTTGGCCCTTTTTACGATGAATTTTACTAAGTCGTTTGAGGCCACATTTCATACCTTAAAACTCAAAATTGAGAGAAATCCTGTTCCAAAAAGTTGGATATGATCATCAGCTACACTCACAAGAATTTTTGAAGCGATATCTTATGACCTGGGTGAATGGTAAAATATACAACTTTGATTTTTACAAAAATTTCAATTTTGCTTCTCTCGACCTTGTTTGGTCTGTAACTTCGTCATCTATATTTTAATTATAAAATCCTTTGAAGGGCTTCATGTACGGATTGTAAGTAATCTTCAGTAACAAAATCAGCCAAAAGACTTTTAAAATGACTTTTAAAATGACCGAAATATCGGTATTACAGTGACAGACTTCTCAAAATTTCCAAAAATTTCGAAAAAGAAAATATTTATTTTTTCGAAAGTGCGGGTCCTCAAAAATAATTTTTAATGTATCAAATCTTATTGTTTTTATGTATACTTTCTTAATATGACGTTAACAGCAGGGCCAGGGCATAAAAGCTTTTGGTGTATGTCCCCTTAACCGGTTGGTACACATACTTTATTAACACTTAACAGGTTTTTAAGTTGGTATTTCAAGTACAGTCATAATTTCGTCATATCACTTTTTCCAGGACACATCCGGTCTTAGAATTCGTCGTCACGTGATTCTGTATTTGTGTAACAACTGGTCGGTTTCAGCCACATGAATTGGTTTGAGTGATGAGTCACGTGATTTCTGTTAAACTGCACTGACCTGCTGCACACTTGCCAGTCAGTTTAGTAGGGTCGCTCTGATCACAATAGAACCCAGCAATACAGTCAGTACACTGGTTAGATTGGGAGAGACCGGAGCTGGTTCCGTAGGTTCCCGCTGGACAGGCGTGTTCGTTCGGATTAGAGGTCCCGGCTGGACACCAGTACCTGAGGGGAGGTAGTGCGGTTATTTACTTGATTCACGATGCCAATCCTTCGCAGCTCGGCGAGGCCCAGTGCTACATGATTCTCGCCGATCTACTGTGAGAATCATCAGTTGATGCGCGGCGCGGCCCAGTAGTGCATCACGCTACAAATTATTTACTTGTCTTCATCAATAATTTATAATATATTTAACATATTTCTCATTATTGGGCGAGAAAACTTCAGGACACTATATTTCGAATGTACTTGCTCTAGAATTAGCACAATGGACCTTGTTTAACCTTGTTTTAAGGCAGATGTTGACAATACTTGATAATTAAATTGAAAGGCCGAAAATATGAGAAATTTAAATTTTAAGTTGGTAACAGATTATGTAATATAATTTACCTCATCGGTCCTAATCAGATTCTTACCTCATTTTACCTCATTTTACCTCATATTATCTCATATTACCTCATAATCATATTACCTCATATTACCTCAATATATCATCGGTCCTAATCTTTCCTTATTTTAAGATACTGGATACGTCAACTTGTTTATAATTCATCAATTTGGTATTATCAAATCAGCAATTTTCCCAGGGTTTTCAACATAACGTCTAAGAATATGAAATATCCCATCTGAGGACTTATGTCATAATTGACTCATTGTAAATCGCTGCTTCAGTATAATTGATCGTCGTGTAAGTCAGATAAGGAACGGTTATCTTGGTATGAAAACCCGATGACTTTGTGAAGTTCACATTCTGTTTCACAAGGCTCATTTTGGTCAAAATTTACTTCGCACTGGTTAAAATTATTTCATAATTCTCGTTCTACCGACCTTTACTGTTACCCCTCTATTATACCAATCGTAAGTAGAAGAATAAGAGAAATCAGGGCCAATTATAACAAAAATTGAAGAATTTATATATGAAATAGTTATAGAATCGCTAATCAACTAATCGTCTAAATAGCTAATCAGTAATTAGTAATTACATAGCTAATTAGTAATCAACTCACCCAACGGGACAGTCGGTTGCAATGCTAAGAGTGTCAAGATTATTCTGGGTACAGTACTGTCCAGCTTCACATTCATCACATTCCACTTTACCTTTAGCACTGGCCCACGTGCCGTCTTTACACAGGACACCTGGAGTGGAGGGTTGATTACTGGTGAGGAAGTGATAGAGATTTTTGAATGAGAGGCTTCTTTCATTGCCGAAGATCACTGATATTAACATATGTTGTAAATGGGTCTGGCAGTGGCAGCTGTTGGTAATCTATTGGAAAAATGTTTTTCTGCAGCTGTAAACATCTAAAGTCGAGTATTTTGCAGTAACCATTTATGCAGTACAATATCGTATTCGAATCAATTTACACAAGTTTGGCCCCTTTCTAAAAATTTGAAGTACGAGACAAACAGTGGCGTAACGAAAGGCCCTGCTGACCCCGCTGTGCAGGGGGGCGCCGTCTTAGGGGGGCGCCAAATCGTCGTTTGAATGTGGGACAATTTCGAAAAACTTAACTTAAGTACTAGCAAAACTGCGCGTTTTGCTCTAGATACACACTTTTTTAGAGATTTTACCGGCGTATTCTTTAAAATCACCTAATTTGTTCAATTTTAGGGAGGGGCACCAAAAGGGGAGGGGACGCCAACAGGGGGGCGCTTTTTTCGGCAGGGGGGCGCCAACAGGCAACGTTACGCCACTGGAGACAAACATTAATTTCTACAGTCGCGCAAAATTTCTAGAAATTGTGTCAAATTCTTGGAATTTTGTTTACCCAAAACTCGACAAATTTCAGGGAATTAGCATAAAAACCAAACTTTACTCCTGCTGACTTCAAATCAATCGGAGGGTTTAAAATTTTCCAAAATACAGAATTTGAATATAAAATTGATCAAAATTTTCATATCTAAAATGGTTGCTCGGTTAATCGTCAGATCTGAACTTTGAGCCGTCAGTATTGATAGAAGACAAATTCTGATGCTTTTTTTGAGTATGTAAGTGCTCGAAGTGCTCATAATGTATGCTTTTAATTAATGTTGCGATCTATCTAACGTTTATATTGCATTCAAATGGCATCTTGAGTGCATATTGACGTGCTGGATTCAAGCACAGGTCGCTTTCAAATCCAGCGATAAGGAGTGCCTCTGCTGATTTATTTATCATTGATATTGTTAGGTTGTGCCGTAAAAACGAATAATTGTGCCGTAAAATGGATAATTGTTTTATTAATTGAGCATAATGAGTGTAACTGTAAGATCGCACGAAATACGAATTTTGTGCTAAAAACGCACATTATATAATGTAAATTAGCATAATTGGCGCAAGATCATATTGAGGTACAACTAAGCAGGGCCCTGACGAGATAATCAAATGGTCTCATGCTTTTCCTCATTGACTTTCATTTTGTAAACACTGTTTCTTACTTTTGAAGAGTCTGCGATGTATTTACTGAGTATAATAAGATAATAGCCACGTCTATCACTGTCTCACTCACAATAAGAACTCACTGCCGATTAGCCATCATGTAATATTATAAACAGGACATCTTCACTGTGGATCACTTTCACTATAGAACTACATATCAGATGATAAGAATCACTTTCATTTTCATTATACACCATTGCTTAATAAGATAATAGGAATCACATTATACTTTCTCTCTAAGAGAACGCCACCCAGACTGTGTAAGTGTGTAGCACCTCACTGTACTTGGACCAATTTCATTGTCATTCAAAACAGGGTAGCCTGCCGCGAAAGAGGTAAACTTACACTGTTCTACTCCATATTGATATACACGTTCATAAGCAAAACGCTTATGAGCCGAGCAGCTCGCGCGGAGAGTATAAGAGTATAAGAGTATAAGTATGACAGAGAGGTAGGATTTAATGTCCGCGGCTGCTGAAGTTCAGTTACAAAAAACCTGGAAAACTGGAAGTATCTAAATTACAGTTTACATCCCAGCCTTGGATAGATTTTTGGGAATAGAATCCAGATTTACTTCTAGATATTCATTTTTGGGATATTCAACCTTACTATTTTTACTACGATATATCCAGCAATTTATTAACCGACCGAAGTTCGAAACACCGTCAGCCAGCAAACTACAAGAAATCTACAAGAAATCTTACGAGTTTATTGTTGGCTCTCCTCATGGGATTTTTAGCTCGATCAACAAATTGAATAATAATAACTTTGATATGCCATATAAGTTAATTATCGCAACAATATATTGAAACCATATCTACTGATTTGTTCCTTTACTAGTTTACTACGATGGGACAGAGAACAAGAAATGCGGCCGCTTTTCTTTTGTGGATGGCCGCTCAATTTCCCGATCCGTGATGGCGTATTTTATCATATTCCATACAAGCATACAACCTGGGGACCCCAGTCTTTACAGTTTATAAACATGCAGATATGGCGGAGTGACAGGCCGAGCGCCGCCCAATTAATATAATTCCATATTGAATTTGAAGATCGTGTATATTTCTAAATTCTATGTAATCATATGTTTATTGTCTATGCAACCTGAGTCCTGACACCCGACACGGATCTGTGCAAAATAGTAATAGTAACTTAAAATAATAATATTATGCTATCAATTAGTGCCTAGTGCACGGTCGCAGAGCTACCATATACAAAAAAAACCTCGTTCGCTAACCCTTGTCCTTGACTCTTTTAGTTTACTTTGTTCTTTACTGTAAATAAAACATCACCACTTTGCTTGTGGATCACTTTCACTTTCATTATACACAATTGTACTTCAAGATAATAGGAATCACATTCTACTTTCCATCTACAAGTACAAATCAGTCTGCTCCAAAGGTCGTGTACAATGCTGTCCTTTCTCAAATCGCTTCAAAATTTCCATATGTAAAACTTTTCTTTGATTCAAAGAGCTGGCGGAGATAAAGACACAAAATCTACATAAAGCAGGTAAAGAATGTGCTTCACAAAGTTCCAACAGTAGGAGGCTAGGGTACTCTGTAGTTCTGTCACTTGAGCAACAGGTTGGCTTATATTACTATCACGGGCTCAATCCTAACTCCCATCATATTCCTAGAGCTATTAAATTTTCTTACTATGGAGTGTGGTCTATTCCTTTCCCTTAAATCTAATCTTCTTATCCAATACTGGATATTCGAAGTGTAATTCTAAATGCAAATCCTCAACATAAGATCTCACGTTTAAGAACAGATAATGTACAATAGTACAAGGTGTGATTTGCCATACTCTGATTAATATCGAGTCTGTGATTTTCGTAAAATCACGTCCCCACTCACCAGTCCCCACGAATGAAACTGCTTCCTCGAGATGAGTTTTTACTGAGCCTGTGCAGTGTTCACTGATATCCTGGCCTATACACTAAAACCTTGATTATCTGGAATTCTTGGGGTAAATTTGGGATAATTTATCCCACTAAATCAGGGATTTGATTTACATTAAACATAGAAATAACTATAGATATAATAAAATCGAGTTTTAACTACATAACGACTAACGTTATTCGTCACCTTTACTTAACGTTAGCCTTCGCCAAAGTTAATTTATTGATATCGCATTCTAACGTGAGTATAATTAACATAAGAGACTGATCTCTAATAATTATTTTTAAAAAAATATATATATATGGTTAGTAAATATTATGGATTGAAGATCAGAATTAGATGTTAAAAATGCAATTAAAATGGCTATAAGCCGGCTGTTACCGTAACCACCGGCTAATTTTATAAGCCGGTTAATGACCGGTCGGCGTTGTACCCATTTGATTTATGTTCATCATGAGCACGCAAAAATGCTTTATTGGTAGCTTCAGATTAGCCTTATCAGGGAAAAATTATTGTAGTAATATTGAATGGAGTTGGGTTAAAAACATATAAGTGATACGATAGTTTAACTTGTAGAAGCTTTCATTAAACATGTGTTAATCGTCGTCAATCGTTGTAGTAATATGTTCAAATCCTTGATATACCCCCCTAGTAAGTTAAATTCATGCCGTGTGCCTGGTCAAAAAGGTTCAACTCAAGAGAGCTGCCATCGCATCTTCATAATGTACCAGTTATTCAAATTAGTAAGGGTACGAGGTGAGTGAGGGCCCTAGATTAAGGATCACTTTCTAGTTTCCCTTTCTCTCTTCTCTATACCTGAGCTCGTTATGAGAGGCCACGAGTCTCTCTTAATGAAATATTCATGGCCTTTAAGAACATTATGCCCCTTTAACCTTTCGTTACGAGGGTCAAAATCTAGGTCCAGAGGAGAGAGGATTTTAGCATAATCACCATCACAATGGTTAGACCTTTATACTTAGTTTGGGTTCGTTAGGTCGGACCGTTTAAGTTGGACGGGTATTGGCGCCTTGATACCACTTACATATATTCATGAAGTATTACTGTTACCCAACGGGCGACAGGTTCAACTTCATAACTCTACCATTTCAACTTTGTTAGTTTGAAGGAACGGAGGGTCCGAATTTTAGAAGTTTAACTTGAGGTCGATAAATAACAATTTCGTTTGTTACATTAAGAATGTTGAAGTCAGTGGATCTTTCTTGCACAGGAACATATTAAAGTTAATGAGTTCCATTATGTTTATTTTTGTTTTAGAAAATAGCCCCTTGCAGCTTTTTGTAATTTAAATATTGAAGTTAAGACAAGTAAAAATTGATTGTAACTTCAATAATTAAATTAGACTTTCATGTAACTGTTTTTGATAAGTTATGTTTAAATAGATCTTAAGGCTGAGCGTGAGTTTGAGACGAATTTAGCTTTCATTTTAGACTTCACGTCTCCCGAAATAAAACTGCGAACAAAGTGAAACAAGGAACTAAGTAAACTGTAAAACCAAATTTTCGTCACGCATTGGACTTTATCAAGGTTACACTGAAAAGGGGAGGTTTGATCTCTGAACCAGAGAGTGTTGGTAATTGGGTTAGGAAAGTAAACATACATGCGACAAAGATCAGGGTTACCATTAGGAAGAAAATTTCAGCAAAATTTATAGAAAAGGGGTGTACACATCCATGCGAGAAAAATCGGGTTACCAATAAGAAAAAATCACAACAGAGAAAGTTTACAACCCTCGGATCAGCGTAGTAAAAGTGTACTAGAAATTAGTCTGTAAAACCGTTTCCACACATGTTATTGATTTTAGGTTTAGTGTGTTCTATTGCTAAGCCTTCTCTTATAAAGGTATCTAAGGTATCCTTACATTGTTCTGATATGCTAAATTCGTAGTTTTCGAAGAATTTTGCTAAGTCTCTTTTTCCCGATATGGGAGTGTAGTGTGGGTCGTCTGCTCTGCGGTGTTCAGCAGCGTGGTATCCTAGTGTGGTCCTGCTGTTGTTGAGTCGGAAGCTAGACTCGTGTTCGTAGATTCGACCTCTAATAGGTCGTCTTGAAGCTCCTATGTACAGATCTCCGCATTTCTTACATTTTGCTTTGTACACGTAGTGTCGGGTGGTACAGTTGAGATCTGCCTTGCAGAGTTCGCACTCGCATATCTCGTCTTTAGATGGTGTGCTGATGATGCTCCTGACAGCTTTCCCCGCCTGTGTCACTACTCTGGCGTTTATTCCCAGTTGCTTGATCGATGAGTTGACTCTCCTGGTAAAGCTCTCGTTAATGTACGGTATCTTCAGGATAAGGTCGGGTTCTGGCCGGGGTTCTCGTGGGGTCGAGCTTGTTAGTACTTCTAGTCTCTCTAGAGCTTGTAACATGTGTTTTGTCACGACTTCTTTGGGATATCCGGAGTTTACGATCAGGTGAGTTTTCAGTTTTTCGAGGTATGCCCAGCTGTCATCCTTGTATTTGCAGTTGAGAACTATCCGCCTAGTCTCCGACCTGATGATGTTTGTTTTGGTGACTAGACTACAGTGTGAGTCGTAATGCAAATATCTTCCAGAAGCCGTAGGTTTTTGGTAGTGAGTGAAAGATATTTCATTGTTCTCTTTTAGCTCAATGGTGAGATCAAGGAAAATGAGCTTTCTATCTTCTTGAAGTTCGCTGGTGAAGTTTACATAGGCCCAAACAGAGTTCAGATTGGCTTTGAATTCCTCGAAGTCTTCGGCGCTTGACTTCCAGAGTAACCAGGCGTCGTCAACGTACGTGGAAAGGCACTCCGGCTTGTGGGTACTCTTTTCTGCTGCTATATTGTAGGTGTAGTCGACGATGATTTCTGCGTATGCGCCTGAACTATGGGACCCAGTGCCGATACCCTGTTTTTGTAGGTAGTATTTGTCGCCTGCTTTGATGTAAGTGTGGTGTAGGACAAATTCGAGCATGGAGACAATATGTGAGGGCGAAAATCCGTACAGGTTAATATTTTCTTTGTAATCTTCAATGTACGATAGTATGACTTGTAAAGCTCTCTCGTCAGTGGGTAGAGTAGGGTACATGTTCTCCACATCAAGGGATGCTTGGAAACTGACACTACTGGTTACGGTGATGTTGTCAGGATAAGTGTTGCGGAGCTTAGTGAGAAAATCTTTTGTACTTTTGACTCGGTCCGAGTCAAAAGTACAAAAGATTTTCTCACTAAGCTCCGCAACACTTATCCTGACAACATCACCGTAACCAGTAGTGTCAGTTTCCAAGCATCCCTTGATGTGGAGAACATGTACCCTACTCTACCCACTGACGAGAGAGCTTTACAAGTCATACTATCGTACATTGAAGATTACAAAGAAAATATTAACCTGTACGGATTTTCGCCCTCACATATTGTCTCCATGCTCGAATTTGTCCTACACCACACTTACATCAAAGCAGGCGACAAATACTACCTACAAAAACAGGGTATCGGCACTGGGTCCCATAGTTCAGGCGCATACGCAGAAATCATCGTCGACTACACCTACAATATAGCAGCAGAAAAGAGTACCCACAAGCCGGAGTGCCTTTCCACGTACGTTGACGACGCCTGGTTACTCTGGAAGTCAAGCGCCGAAGACTTCGAGGAATTCAAAGCCAATCTGAACTCTGTTTGGGCCTATGTAAACTTCACCAGCGAACTTCAAGAAGATAGAAAGCTCATTTTCCTTGATCTCACCATTGAGCTAAAAGAGAACAATGAAATATCTTTCACTCACTACCAAAAACCTACGGCTTCTGGAAGATATTTGCATTACGACTCACACTGTAGTCTAGTCACCAAAACAAACATCATCAGGTCGGAGACTAGGCGGATAGTTCTCAACTGCAAATACAAGGATGACAGCTGGGCATACCTCGAAAAACTGAAAACTCACCTGATCGTAAACTCCGGATATCCCAAAGAAGTCGTGACAAAACACATGTTACAAGCTCTAGAGAGACTAGAAGTACTAACAAGCTCGACCCCACGAGAACCCCGGCCAGAACCCGACCTTATCCTGAAGATACCGTACATTAACGAGAGCTTTACCAGGAGAGTCAACTCATCGATCAAGCAACTGGGAATAAACGCCAGAGTAGTGACACAGGCGGGGAAAGCTGTCAGGAGCATCATCAGCACACCATCTAAAGACGAGATATGCGAGTGCGAACTCTGCAAGGCAGATCTCAACTGTACCACCCGACACTACGTGTACAAAGCAAAATGTAAGAAATGCGGAGATCTGTACATAGGAGCTTCAAGACGACCTATTAGAGGTCGAATCTACGAACACGAGTCTAGCTTCCGACTCAACAACAGCAGGACCACACTAGGATACCACGCTGCTGAACACCGCAGAGCAGACGACCCACACTACACTCCCATATCGGGAAAAAGAGACTTAGCAAAATTCTTCGAAAACTACGAATTTAGCATATCAGAACAATGTAAGGATACCTTAGATACCTTTATAAGAGAAGGCTTAGCAATAGAACACACTAAACCTAAAATCAATAACATGTGTGGAAACGGTTTTACAGACTAATTTCTAGTACACTTTTACTACGCTGATCCGAGGGTTGTAAACTTTCTCTGTTGTGATTTTTTCTTATTGGTAACCCGATTTTTCTCGCATGGATGTGTACACCCCTTTTCTATAAATTTTGCTGAAATTTTCTTCCTAATGGTAACCCTGATCTTTGTCGCATGTATGTTTACTTTCCTAACCCAATTACCAACACTCTCTGGTTCAGAGATCAAACCTCCCCTTTTCAGTGTAACCTTGATAAAGTCCAATGCGTGACGAAAATTTGGTTTTACAGTTTACTTAGTTCCTTGTTTCACTTTGTTCGCAGTTTTATTTCGGGAGACGTGAAGTCTAAAATGAAAGCTAAGTTATGTTTAAAAAAATAATAAAACAATTCCACTTTAGCTTATCGTCAAAGCAGAAATATGAAGGTTTTAGTGATCCTGATAGGAGTCTTCTCAGCTGTCTGTAAGTAATGTTTATTTTTAGGGAATAGAATATCGTGTGCTTGGCTAATTTCTTTCTGTTAACGAGTGCCACCGTATGATCACAGGGGTCCAGGGCAGTTCGGCGTAAGACTCTACGGAGTGAGACTATAACCCTAACCCTAACCCTAACCCTAACCCTAACCCTAAACCTAACCCTAACCCTAACCCTAACCCTAACCCTAACCCTAACCCTAACCCGCCGGAGAGTCTTACGCCGTAGAGTCCGGACCCCATCGGAAGTTAACCAATTAAGGGTTTGGTAAAATAATACTACTGCTTTGTTAGGCAATCAAACAGACTGTTGCTACGTTTGAATAAGATCAGAGACTTAAAAGATAAATAGTACAATACAAATTTGAGAATAAACAACGTAAACAGTAAACACCCACAGCGGCGGAAGAAATGAAGTGTAATGGCGCTGATGGCGCCACTGCCGAGGCCTGCGATGACGGAGTTGTCGCATGTACATCGTGAGTTACAAATTTTCCTTTTTATAATACAATTAAATATTTCTAATTTCAGAATTAAATACGGGAAAATTATAAAAAAATTACTTCCATTCTGGTGGTTTTAGATACACTCGAGAGTCGAGACCGAGTCATTGATGAATTTTTTATGAAAATCTTTTCAAAATTTACATACAATATAACATGTGGCGCAAAATAAAATCAAAATATAACTGATTGCGATCTCTAAAGGACAGATGTATGTGAATTTCAAAGGGAAACCAGAACGCAGTAAAATTGTAATCGAAACCACACCGCACAAGCCTAGTCCCTGGTAAATGAAAATCAATCAAATAATATGTTGATAAAAAATCATATCCCATCAGTCCTTCTCGGAGCTTACGATCTTATTGTTCCTTATAACATGAACTCGCTGAGGCTCCAATTCCCGTTTCTGCTTAACTTCAAGAACTAACTTCCTGAAGGCAGCTCTCTGCTCGGCTGATCGGTCGGGGCTGATGTACACTGAGTCATACCCCTCCACTTCTCTTAGTTTTCTCGCTTTGCTCAACACTCGCCGCACATGATCTGAGCCGCTGAGAGTGAACTTGATAGGTTTAACGGCTGGTCCTCCATCTGATACAGTTCTCCCCATCCTACAGCAAGAAACGATTCGAGGTTTCTCATCTATGTTTTCTAGTACCTCAAGCACTCTCTTTTCCAGGATTTCTTCACTCTTTTCTGGTAGACCGTAGATGACCAGATTTTGACTACGATCCTCTTCCTCGGAGGCACTTTTCATAGCAGCTTTCATTTTCTTAGGCGCTAGCGCCTTGCTGCATGAATTCTTCACAACTGACGACCAGGCTTTGAGTTCGCTTTTCACTGTCGTCTGAACAGAGGTCAAATCCTCACTTTTCTTCTCAAGCAATTGTCCTTGCAGTTTAATCACAGTGTTCTGATCTGCAATCTTTTCGTCCTTCAGTTGGTCGATTTCATCTTGTAGTTTGGTGGCTGAAAACAACAGCGGTGAACAATAACTGTCGAGAATGTCGATAAAAGTTTCCATCCAATCACACAGTATAGCCTTGGTGATCTGAGGCTTGTTGAGCGTTTCTTTACGTAACACATTCGATTTCTGAACACCTGCCGCTTGACGCATATCGTTGAGTAGCATAATCTGAGCACCCAAAATCTGTTCAGCATACATTGATCTGAATTTGAGTGTAGAGTAATTCATCGCTATTTCATTGTCAAGATTCTCCAAGTATTTGTTAACCATGATGTACAATGTACACGCAGGGCCAGTTTAATATACACGAGTATATTATCTGCTACACAGTGAGAGCTGTTTAAACCGACGCAAAAGCAATTAACTGATAAGTCACATCTCACATCTAGTTAAAAAATGAACTTACAATATTTTGACTACTTTGACGTGACTTTCAACGGGTGTCCAAACCCACATCGAATCCAACTCCTTCCATGTTTTACATTCAGCATACTATTACTAACTTCAATACACCAATTCAAAATCCACCATTCCCTCAGTCCAGTGTGGTCGGAGTACGGAGGTATGAGTGCTCAAGCGTACGGGTGTGGAGCGTGCCCTGCTGACAGTACTGCGACATGTGCCCAATGCGATGCCAAAGCAGACGAAGGATGCAACGTAAAAGTAGCAGCTCCAGGTAAATCTGAATTCGCAATGGAGACATAAAGACATAATAAATCAAATTTTGAACTATATGACCTTTGATACATAAAATGCATATTAAATTTTGCATATCTGACATTTGTTTGTTGAGGGTCGATAAGTAATAATAACAAATTTAACGAACAGGTCAAATATTGCTTGCTAATTGGAACATAATTTGGCGCATTTCTCTTGATCTTGTTCCCCATTCCTGCTTCCCTTTCGTCTTATTCCTTATCTGGGGACCCTATAGGCTATAATGTTCATAAACATACGAAGAATAAAGATGTGGTGGAATGACAGGCTGAGCGCCGCTCAGTAACTTATTCCTTGCAGTGTGAACAGGACTCTAAGTGTCTAATGCTGAACGACTGTTAAACTCCATCCCCACCTCTTGCAAGGCACACGCCACACATAGCTGCCTCCACCCCGCCAACGATAGTGTCACTGTTTGCCCTAACTTCACCTCCACTTTGCGTGGTGGGCCTTGTCCCCTCTTTTATTCTGTGCTCCCCAGATTAGCTATAACATTACTGTTACACTGATTATTATATACTGACACCCACCAACCTTCAGCTGATGCACAAACATTCGAGTGTTTCGACTACAGCTTGGTAAAAGAAGCATTGGTTGCATCCAAAACAGCGACAACTTGTAACGCTAACAAAGCCACTGCCATCAAATGCAACAGGTACGTGACTAGAAATTCAGCAAATGGCGAATAATCTCGTTTTAATTATCAAGCTAAATGCAAATTCATTTCATGAATGCCATGATCGTCTCTCCGAAAGAGGAGATGGCACTCATTATGTACTTAGTCGATTGAAAAACTTAACCGCACAATATTTCAGTCCCGGAACCGCAGCGGTAGCAAAAACCTACAAAGTGGCCAACAAAGGCTGCGGAGGGTGTACTGAAGCAGCGATTAAAGACAAAACATGTTCGGAGTGCTGCAAGACCAAATGCAATTCTGCGTCAACTCTCGCGTTTGTTTTGGCGCCCCTCTTGGCAGTTATCTTCCATGTACTGTAAATAGCCAGGAACAGGAACCGCATATGACATATTATCTGGAACAGACTGTCATCATTTAGTGCTTTACTTTCAATTTCAAAGATTATGATTTCTTCCGACAGCTGCATTTTTCAAGTTCGATGAATATTTACAATGCCAATTCGTTTGTCAAAGATTTTTGACTTTTCTCATAAATGAAATAAATAGTCTTATTTATAAAAAAAACATTACCTATGATAATTAATAAATATAAATATTTTAAAGTTAATTATAGTGAGGAAACAACATTTCATAAGTAACAAACATAAAATAACACTTTGAATGAAAAATATCAACGATGTGACAAGTACAGAGGGTGCTCATTGCTCCAATTTGCATTTACGTCCTTACTGGTGTTGGTGCCGCCTTAGCTCTCGGAAAATGGTTCTTTTTAGCCGCCCGAATTGTCCCAGGTTTTGCCATTGTAATTTGTCCTCACATTCCATTTATGTACGTAGCTGAAGTGGCAAGTTCTGAATTCAAATAATTCGCTGTGCTATCCATGGCAGTCAGGATGCCTGTTATAAAGCTGTTTGTGTTAGGGACAGTATTCCAGCGGTGGTACAAATGTTTGTTTCTATTGACCCCTGTTGGCCAGTGTATGTTCAATATCTTCCAAGCTTCCGTAGATGTTTCCTGGAGCTGGTATCATTTGGGTCGCATAGACATGCGGTTAATTAGCAAGAGGAATCTTTGGTTTCTCAAGCCAGACCTTGCTAAATGTCTCTAGACATGCGGTTAATTAGCAAGAAGAATCTTTGATTTCTCAAGCCAGACCTTGCTAAATGTCTCTAGACAATAGAATTCGGTTAATTAGCAAGAGGAATCTTTGATTTCTCAAGCCAGACCTTGCTAAATGTCTCTAGACAATAGACATGCGGTTAATTAGCAAGAGTAATCTTTGATTTCTCAAGCCAGACCTTGCTAAATGTCTCTAGACATGCGGTTAATTAGCAAGAAGAATCTTTGATTTCTCAAGCCAGACCTTGCTAAATGTCTCTACACATGCGGTTAATTAGCAAGAAGAATCTTTGATTTCTCATAGACATGCGGTTAATTAGCAAGAGTAATCTTTGATTTCTCAAGCCAGACCTTGCTAAATGTCTCTAGACATGCGGTTAATTAGCAAGAGAATCTTTGATTTCTCAAGCCAGACCTTGCTAAATGTCTCTACACATGCGGTTAATTAGCAAGAAGAATCTTTGATTTCTCAAGCCAGACCTTGCTAAATGTCTCTAGACATGCGGTTAATTAGCAAGAGGAATCTTTGCTTTCTCAAGCCAGACCTTGCTAAATGTCTCTACACATGCGGTTAATTAGCAAGAAGAATCTTTGATTTCTCAAGCCAGACCTTGCTAAATGTCTCTAGACATGCGGTTAATTAGCAAGAGGAATCTTTGGTTTCTCAAGCCAGACCTTGCTAAATGTCTCTAGACATGCGGTTAATTAGCAAGAAGAATCTTTGATTTCTCAAGCCAGACCTTGCTAAATGTCTCTAGACATGCGGTTAATTAGCAAGAGGAATCTTTGGTTTCTCAAGCCAGACCTTGCTAAATGTCTCTAGACATGCGGTTAATTAGCAAGAGGAATCTTTGCTTTCTCAAGCCAGACTTTGCTAAATGTCTCTAGACATGCGGTTAATTAGCAAGAAGAATCTTTGGTTTCTCAAGCCAGACCTTGCTAAATGTCTCTAGACATGCGGTTAATTAGCAAGAAGAATCTTTGGTTTCTCAAGCCAGACCTTGCTAAATGTCTCTAGACATGCGGTTAATTAGCAAGAGGAATCTTTGGTTTCTCAAGCCAGACCTTGCTAAATGTCTCTAGACATGCGGTTAAATACCTCCAGGACTCATTACTTTGCATAGAGCACCGCTATCATCATCCACACCCGGACAAGCAAGAAATGGGCCTACAGACAAACGGCTTTTTGTTTGTTTTCTTCTTTTCAAGATGGCTGCACTATCTCATTTCTTTGAACGAGTACTGGCTGTTAACAGTTAGCAGCGCTAGTAAGTAATTGATCTCACTTGGGATGTTTATTCGTTCGCTTCAAAAATCCTCTGTATCTATCATTTCGGGTGTATCACTATTCATTACCATTTACCATGTTAACATAGAAAGTTTTTGAATTTATTAGCTTTGAGATAAATTAATGGCCAGATTTATCAATTTCTATCCATTTTATTTCATTGCCATAACAGATAAAGTAATCTTGTCACACAAATAAGAGAAGGTCCACACTTCGACAGAAACATTGTGGACTAGCTATTGAGTATTGTAAATTTAAGCTTTCAAATGAAAGTGAAACGTTTTTCAAGTAATATACAGATTTTCATTGTTTCTTTGAGTGTACTAATTCGTGAGTCGATGTCAAAAAGTTTTCAATCCACTATGCTCGATTAGAGTGGTAGATCGAAAGACAAAGCACTTTTCCAATAAAAAAGAAGCTACAGACTTCAACATTACAAACCAGCTATTGTAAATTTATACTTCTAAACTGAAAGCGAAACATGTTTCAAGTAATATGCTGATTTTCAGTGTTTCTTTGAACCTCGTAATTCGTGAATTCGTTCGAAAAGTTTTCTATCCACTATGCTCGATTAGAGTGGTAGATCGAAAGACTCTGAACTTTTCCAATAACAAAAGAAGCTACAGACTTCAACAGAAACACTTAAATCACTACGGACCAGGTATGTCATATTGTAAGTTTAAGCTTTCAAATAAAAGCGTAACGCTTTTAAGTAATATACAGGTTTTTAACTGCTTCTTTGAGGTTCGTGCCTACTTATTCGTGAATAAGGAGTACCAGAGAAAGGTTGCAACTGCAGAGATCGTGCTAGCTGCCTCCTGGAAGGACAATATCTTGTAAGATGATTTATCAACCAGGAGGACAACGTGCAAATAGTGTTGAAGTAACTGAGAAGAAATTGAGTTTCGGACATTGTCAGAGTGTTAAAAACTCAAAATATCGACTGAGTAATGAGTATCGAACTGACTATCTGGAAACTCAGGGAGTGTGATAATGTGATATTAAAAATTTAAAAGTACTCAAAATCTAGCACGTTGTTTCAATGTGAGTTATTAATATTATTTACCTATTTTGAAACATATTTGAATAAATTGTAGAAGTGCTATGGCTTAAATTCTACCTCTGCAGGGTATATCATTAGCAATCAACTAACAGCATCCATGTACAGGGTAAACTAAAACTGAGTCGTTTTTTAACCGATGCTTCCCTGACTCTAATCTAGTAAACCTAGTCTCGGACTAATATAGAGGTTGCGTATCGGCGGTGGAGGTAGACACATATTTGGTCGCTTAGGGTTAGGGTTAGGGTTAGGGTTAGGGTTAGGGTTAGGGTTAGGGTTAGGGGTCCGGGACTCTACGGCGTAAGACTCTACGACGTAAGACTCTAAACCTAACCCTAACCCGCCGTAGAGTCTCACGCTGTAGAGTCTTACGCCGTCCGGACCCCGGTGCACCTTGATCATGGCGAACTTTCCCAATATCTGCTGACTTCAGTCGGGTATTATAATAGTGTTACTTAAAGTAATAATTTACCAAACAAGTTCCTCTATTTCGGGTTAAATTCATCATTCAATTAAATTTCATGAAAGTTTATGTTACAATAACTTAGATTTCGAGAAGCACTCAGCATTGGGTCAAGATATATTTATTATTTCTAACGAATCTTATGCTCATGACGATTGTTCTTTGTCGTGAAACTTTCAGTAGACGAAGTTCGTTGTTTTACTTCGTTAGAATTTGAATTAAGCAGAGCATTAGTTGAAGAAGAACCGCACCGATAGATTTTAACATAATACAATATAATATATTGTGTATCAAATATGTAAGAGCATATTGTAGATGCGGAGTGTAAAAGTAAATAGTCCTTAGCTGGCGAATCTATTGTCTATTTGTCTCATATTATATGGAACGTTTGTTCAAACTGTGAAATTAAATTTCAGTTTCTCTTTGAATAAAGTAATTCAAGAGTCCGCAATTTGACTGTCCTCATGGAAATGATTCCTAGTCACAATACTGAATAATATGCACACTGCATAGCATAAAGAAAGAAAATGTAAACATATAGAAAGAGAATGTAAACTTTACCGACTACAAAAAAGCAAAGTGCTCAAACAGAAACATTTGGAACCTGCTAATGTGTATCGCGAACATGTTAAAACTTAACAAGGAGCAATTTTTGTAGCTGATGTTTATTGATTCCAGTTTGTCGGTGGATGGTTTTAACAACTTCGATATTATGATTTTATTGTAGATAAGAAATAATACGACTCTTAATTAATTAGCTAAACGTCAAACTCAAAGCAGAAGAATGAAGGTTTTCTTGATCCTGATGGGAGTCTTCTCAGTTGTCTGTAAGTAATGTTTATTTTTTAGAGAATCGAACATCGTGTGCTTGGCTAATTTCTTTCTGTTAACGAGTGCCACCGTATGATAACTTAATAATATAATGCTGTTACGTTTAAAAGATTTTAAAGATAAATAGTACAATACAAATTTGAGAATAAACAACGTAAACAGTAAACACCCACAGCGGCGGCAGTCAAAAAGTGCAATGGTGTTGATGGCGTCACTCCCGAGGACTGCGCGACCGAAGATGTCGCATGTACATCGTGAGTTGCAACTTTTCCTTTGTTGTGTTTTTAATATAATTAAATATTTTTAATTTCAGAATTGAATACTGGAAAATTTAAAAAAAATTACTTCCATTCTGGTCGTTTTAGATACACTCGAGTCATTGATGAATAGTCACATCTCACATCTAGTTAACAAATGAACTTACAATATTTTGACTACTTTGATGTGACTTTCAATGGATGACCAAACCCACATCGAACCCAACTCTTTCCATGTTTTACATTCAGCATACTATTACTAACTTTAATACACCAATCTAAAACCCACTATTCCCTCAGTCCAAAGTTTGCAGAGTACGGAGGTCTGAGTACTCAAGCGTACGGGTGTGGAGAGTGCCCTGCTAACAGTGCTACGACATGTGCCCAATGCGTTGCCACAGCAGACACCGGATGTAACACAAAAGTGGCACTAAGTAAATACATTTGCGATTATATACATTCCAAATCAAATTTTGATCCGCGGCTCAATAAGAGTATCGAGTAAACATGTTTAACAGAATATTATTATTATCAGTCCTGCTTTGAAAATAAAAGTCCGTGTCGAGGCAGTGAACAAATTCAAATCACCCAGCTGGGCTTGAACACTCCATTTCGCAACCTCCATAAATTTGTATGAACCCAACATTTCGCTGTAAAAACAAACCTTCAGCGGGGAAGCTTACATTTCTGTGTTACAAATACGAATATACTGCATCAAAATGGAAAAAAGTAGCAGCTCCAGTGACTTGCCACGCTAACAGTGGTACCGCTGTCAAGTGCAACAGGTACGGAGATAATGATTCACAGCAAATAACGAATATTTAAACTATCACTCATCAATTGATAATAAGTGATAGTTCGTGGATAACTGACAATAGCTAAATATTTAAGCTCTTAGTTTTCAATTTGACGTTTGCATAGCTCCTAACTTTAAATTGCTCAGTTTCATTAACAATACTGAATAAGAAAATCTACAAATTTAAATCATTGGTACAAAGTGTGCATTCAACCGGAGAACTTAATGATCACCATTCATTATTTCAGTCCTGGAAAGAGTGCAGACAGTACCTACACCGTGCCCCACAACGGCTGTGGACCTTGTGATGCAACAGCGAAGACAGCAAATAAATGTTCGGACTGCACCACAGCCAAATGCAATTCTGCGTCAACTCTCGCGTTTGTTTTGGCGCCCCTCTTGGCAGTTATCTTCCATGCATTCTAAATAGCCCGAAACAGGAACAGTACATTTGAAACTGCTTTCATCTGTTAGTACTTTATTTTAAATTTCAATTTGTCCGAAGGAAAAAACTTTTTTTCCCGACAGCTTCGATGTTTTTGTTCGTTGGATTTAAAAAAGCCAATTTCTTGTTAATAATTTTTCAATTTTTCTCAAGAATGACAAAGGTTTACTTTTAAAAGACATGTTTAGGGTAACATGTACCTTAAATACCTATTCGAATACCATTTTTGTTTTAAATTTACTCGCATATACCCTAAGCAGTTTATATTTATCAACTGATTATGGAGTGAATGAAATTAGACGGCAAACTCTTCTAGAAAGAGCTTAATATTAGTCATAACTATTAATCATATCTTTTATTATCATTATATTTCCCAAAAAATTCAGTTAAAAATAACCATGATGTTTGATTTTGTCAACAATTATAAAAGTGATACACCCTGTATAGTGTATACAACACCAAAAATGTATAAGTTGTTCACCAATTTTCCACAGACTTTGGAACCCATAAGCCCTTGAACCACAAAAACGGGGAACATTTGTGTTTCCCTTAATCACTACTGATTTAAAAAGAACTGAGAAGTGACCACTGACCTGCAGAAGAACCAGTTGGGCAGTAGTGACCCAGAGGACAAAGTTCGGGGTCTTCTTGTATAGAACTGCGGTTGTGCATTGGTTTATATTATAACTGGCTGATCTTTATCAAATTATAATTCAGCTATCAGTATTTTAAACCATGAAATAAGTAACTTATCAGATGGAATAGAAGATAAAGAATTAAATTTGCACTCTTTTCAACATTCGCCTGGGTAAATATATAAGCCTCGCTGTTGTACGCCCACTGTCAATACCTTAATCAATTAATTATCAGGCCAATTACATAATTAGCAGATAATCTAATTTCAATAATGTCAATTACCCGGTAACGCAGAAGTATCCTTCTTTACACTGATCTGTTGGTTCTGTTAATCCTGTACTGCTGCAGTATTTTCCTGGAGGTAAGGAGGTCAGACACTTAGCGACATTGTAATATAACTACAGGTAACTAACTAAGTAAATAAGTAAATAAGTAACTAAGTAACTAAGTAGCTTAGTAACTAAGTAACTAAATACCTAACCTTCAGTACACGGAGTACAATCCTCAGTTCTGGTAAGTTTAGTAGTGCTGGAGAAGGTCCCGGTCGGACAGTCCTCCGGGACACTGCTCCCTGTCTCGCAGAATGAACCTGCTGGACACTCGTGTTGGGTAGGTGTACTGGCTCCCCCATCACAGTAGTACCTTGGAGCAGTTAAATAAATAAATAAAGTAAGTCAAATTAAACTCAACTCAGTAACTTATAAATACACCGTATAAACTAATTAAAAACTAATTAAATGACTAATTAAACAACCCACCCTGCTTCACAATCGTGGTCTCTGTTGTACTCAGCTTGCTGGGTATCAGGACAGTAGTACCCTCTCTCACACGGAATAGCTTCCGGAGATCCCTCCGGACAGTATGAACCCTCCGTACACGGACCTCCTGTGTCTCCTGACAGGGGAGTGTGAGGGTTACTCTGGTTTAGTTACATTGGAAATGTGGTTAGGGGGGCCGGGGGGAACAGCTCTTTATATATTCCAATTCTGATTAAATAGGAGGAAAAACAAACCCTTGAGAGGAGTACTGGAGGAGCTACCCCCAGTGCAGAACCACCCTTCCTTGCAGGGCCCGTTAGGACTGCTCTGTCTCTCACTGCACCATTGTCCAGGTTCACAGGGCTTACAAGAGCTCACGCTGGTGGAGCCCTGGTCTGGGTTGTAGGTTCCTGAGGGTGGTAAATATCACGTGACGTGTTGTAAATATCACGTGACGTATTGTAATTATATCACGTGACCTGGTTCAAGACTTTAAGTTTTGCGATGCGATGGAGATGTTCAGCAATAATCCTGCTTTAGATTGAAAACTTTGAGTTATTCACTCGATTCCCCGATTATGCCTTTTTGCCTTTTTGCTTTTTTCTGCTGTATTTAATCTTTATTCTAAGAAACTTCCATCGATCAGTAAAATTAATAAGAGAGAAGAACTTGCTAACCATGTGTACAGGGAGTCTGCTCCGAACTTCCCTCCGGACAATAGTTGCCAGCTTCACAAGGGTTCTCATCATAAGTAGCTGCCTGGGTTTTACACACGTACCCCTCGACACATTCCTTACATTCCGTCTGGATGGGGGTTATTTTAGGAGATAACTTACTGGTTGGTGGTTAGTTAGTGAGTTAGGTAAGGAGTTATTGAAAACGAATAGATTGATTAATCTATGAGTTATGTATGAGAATTAATTAACGGATAAGCGAAAAAACGAAACAAATTAATTAAAGAGTTAAGAAATATTTGCGGAGATCATTTCTCATATTTTGAACAATAACATTATTAATAAAATTAAAAATTAACAATTGTATTATTAATAAAATTAAAAATAATGCAGACTCACGGATCCGGGAGTATCAGAGTAAGTACCAGCATCACACGGCACCTGGTTCACTGATCCCTTACCACACTTGTAGCCCGCCTGACACTGTCCACCTGTACCTGGTAAAGGGAGATCCAGGTCAGAAACCTTTCAACTCAGGGGATAGCCGGATAGGGTCGTATTTTATTAACTTAACCGATCTTAGATAAGACGCCAAGTATTGGCAAACAGGAGAACCAATATGGAGAGAGGGATGAGAGATCATGACAGTTATTGATATCTCCTAAATTGTGATCTCCCATTTTCTTATAACCTATAGTTATTTTAGGTAAAAGTTTTAAAGAGTAATACAGTAAACTAACCTGAGCTGGAGAAGGAAGGTGTAGCACTGTTAACACCGGATGTGCAGTAATAGCCCGGCTCACATTGACCTACAGGGGCTGTTAACCCTGGCTCGTCACAGAACCATCCACCTGTGGGACATGTTGAGTGAGCACGTGGTATCGTGTGTTAGCACGTGGTATAGTGTGTTTAGCACGTGGTATTGTGTGTTAGCACGTGGTATAGTGTGTTAGCACGTGGTATAGTGTGTTAGCACGTGGTATAGTGTGTTTAGCACGTGGTATAGTGTGTTTAGCACGTGGTATTGTGTGTTAGCACGTGGTATAGTGTGTTAGCACGTGGTATATTGTGATTAGCACGTGGTATAGTGTGTTAGCACGTGGTATATTGTGATTAGCACGTGGTATTGTGTGTTAGCACGTGGCATTGTGTGTTAGCACGTGGTATAGTGTGTTTAGCACGTGGTATATCGTGTGTCCAGCACGTGATACCAAGATAACTGTTATCAACTGCATTATGTTTAATATCAAAATACAATTTCAAGTTATTATTAATTAACGATTCGATGTTGAAATAAGGTCCATTTTCTCACCATCGCAAGGAGTACAATCCTCCTCACCAGCTAGATCAGTTTTGTTAGAATAGGTCCCTGCTGGACACTGCATCAGGTTTGTATTTTCTCCTGTCCCACCTGAAACACAAGGAAATATTTTCATTGATTATTGATAGTGTATAGTGGCCAACTCTCAATGGTAACAGATGAGCTGTCAACAATCTCTGACATTAAGTTAAAGCCCAGATTCTCATATCACGTTAAATAAGAACCTTGCCAAACCATCAAAGTGAAATTTAGCACTTTTTTCCTCAATCATTTTGCAATGGGCACACCACTATTAGGAAGCCCATAATACCTGGACAGAAGTGACCAGTTTTACAAGGGAGCTGTTCTTCAGATCCTGTTGGGCAGAGTCTACCAGCTCCACATTCCGCACAGTCAGCTTCTCTCGGCTGAGGATGGAGAGGTTATCAAGCAAGTTTTTTTATTTTATTAAAAAAAAGAGAATAAAAGCAAGTTGGTGGGACAAGTTACTTTTATGTTTATGTTAGGACGAGTAGGTTATAGGGGTACACTTGGAAAATTATCGGTTAAGAATGGCTACCAATAGCCGTATATTGGCCGTACAGAATAAGCACTTAACCGCTCAATTTCCAAATATTTATTCAACATTTTTTCACCAAATTAAAAGTTGAACCACGTATAATGTTGGAGATAAAAAAGTCTCACTTAACCTAAAGTTTATTTTGTAAAATTAATTGATGAAGCACGTATCCTGACCGTTCAATACCAATTAAATACCGATTAAATATCAATTAAATACCAATTAAATACCAATTAAATACCAACCTGGTCCTGATAAGATCCGTCAGGGCAGGGTACTTGTTGAGGTGAAGTTCCCTCACAGTAGTTCCCAGCGGTACACTCCTCCTGGCACTGCACTGAACTCTCAGCTGGGGGAGAAAGGAGTGTGAATAGGTGGAAAATAGTAACGTCATCTTCGGCGAAACAAGATAAACTGGGATAAACTCAACAAAATTATGAGACGTACGTCACCTACTGTAAAACCAAAAACACTGGGACTCAACAAAAGTATATACCCTCCTCCCCTGTCAGCAGTGAGTTACTGTAGTTACAAAGGTAAACTCACCCGGACAATAACAGCCAGGTTCACAGTCCCCACTGGTGGAGCTCTTGCCTCCCTCGCAGTACTTGCCGGCCGGACACGGATCACACTCTGAGCTGCTCTTCAGACCTGGGGTAAGGGGTTAGAGATGTCACGTGATTAGTCCCGTGATCAGTAGACACTGAATACAGCCGAGTTTTTACTTTTAATCATGTTGAGTAGACGGTTCAAAATTTGTAGTTAAAAACAATCTAACGAGAGTATAGTTCTACGTTCTTCGGTTTATCCAAAATCAAATATATCAAAATCTAAGACAAATTGATTAACAATACGTGTACAGCATTTGGACAACATACCTCGTTTAGCAGAGAATGTTCCGGGCGGACACTCTTGTTGATCTTTGCCGGCTTCACAATAATGTCCTGTAGTGGAAAGTAGCGAGTTAATAAATTAAATTTAGTTAATAAATTACCAATACCGATATTACATCGCTGGTGATTATATTGATGAACCAAGACTGGATTAATCGGTAAACGGGGAAAGTAAGTTGAAAACTGCGAATAATTCAATTGTCAGTATAACCAGACATCTGAATGTCTACAAAAGTAAGCAAGTGAAAACACCACTGACAGACCTGCATCACACGGCCGCCCCACAACATCCTCGTTAGGGGTAGGCACCGTGTTCTTGGAGACACAGTAATACCCGGCACTGCAGTCTCCTGCTGGCTGAGTTAGACCTGGGTAGAGGGTGTTAGTTAGGAGGGTGTTAGTTCGGAAGGTGTTAGTTAGGAAGGTGTTAGTTGGGAAGGTGTTAGAGGACAGATGTGTTAGTTATTGATTGGGAGCTTGAAAAGGATAAGTACTGTAGAAGGGGGTTGTTAACTAAGTTAACTAGATAAGGAGTTGTTTGTAACTAGTTACATAGCAGTTAGTAAAAGTGTGCAGAAATAACTAACCAACGAAAAGTTAGTTTCAAAAGAAGCAAATCTTTAAATAGTTAAGTTACCTAGTGCGTTGCAGAACTTGCCGACATCACAGTCCACACAGTCGTCAACTGATTCCCCTCCCTCTGTACCAAGATACGTGCCTGAGAGTAACAAGTTACGTTATTTGGTCACATCTGATTGTTTCACATCTCCAATATGATAACAATTTAAGAAATGCTCCAATACAATTTGAAGTGCAGACCAAAGGACAGCGCCGATTCACTGGTTCACTGACATTCCTACATAACCTAGGAGACAACATACCAAGAGGACAGGAAGTAGGGATGGTGGTACCAGCCAGACAGTAGGATCCCGGGGGACAGGGTTTGTTTCCTAGAGCATCAGCTGGTGGATCAGCCTGCTTCGCTCCTGGAGATTGTTTACTGATTAATTAAGTTGAGATATTGGTTTTAAAGGAGAAAGAATGAAGAGAAATGGCTCGGATTCTAACTCCACGTTGAGACAGCATGCTTTACAAAAATACAAATTCCACATATTATCTTAGTAAAAACCTTGCTTGCAGTAGGACCCAGCCAGACAGTTCCCAGAGTCTGTAGTTTTGCCTGGTGTATCACAGTATTTACCCGCCGGACATAACGTGCAGTCTTCTGCCGCTGTAAGTTGGGTTGCCAGCGACTTGGTTCCAGCAGGACATTTCTGGAACGGAGGAAAACGTTTTATGAAGATGTTGTGATATCATTTATCAACAATATAATTATGCCAGTTTTTAGAATAATTAATTTACACCGTTAAAAGTGAGCTGATTATTATATACGATAATCTCAACTCTCAAGCTATTTAAATGGACTGTTTATCTAAATACTTTAATAACTACATCGTATACGTGCTGGACTGACCGTTGGTTTCTTGACAAATCATTGGCTCTATCATTATTATATTACGACAAAAAATCATCATTACAACAAAATATAATCATTACAAAAATGATCACATTGTAAAGTAAAGTATTACCTGAGAAAGGGTGTTGCCGCCCCCACAGTAGTGACCAGCAGGACAGTCAGCAGGTATTAACACCCCAGGCTCACAGTACTTTCCGGCCGGACACTCAACACATTCCGTCTGTCCGGTTTGTTCTTGGAATGTGCCTCCCTCACATGGCACAGGCTTATCTTGTCCCTGAGATACGGACTCGGAGTGAGTTCATGTCACGTGCCATTGTGCGGGTCCAGGTATAACTTCACGTGTATAACTTCACGTGATTTGATAACAATGCTAATTATTTCGCGTTCAATATATATATATATTCCAGTTGCTTTTAGAACAATTTTATCTCAGATAACGATGTTTAATAAAATGATGCAAAGACTTATTTCGAAGATCTAATCAACACCGACTTTTAATGTGTAGGAGTACAGCTACAAAATATATATATAATACCCTCGCCAGATAAATCTTTCTTTTTATGAAATTCTGACCCATACGTTTTCGTCGATAAACGTTTTATCGATAAATCGATAAAAACTGAGAGTTTTAAAACTGGAATATGGAACTATAACTGACCTGAGGACATTTAGAACCGGGTTCGCAGGGGAATGAGTTCTGTTGGTCTGTACCAGCTGGACAGTAGTAACCTTCCGGACACACGTGGTTATCTTCGTCAACCTGGTTTAGCAGATAGTAAGGTCATCTTGTTTGTGTCATTTTCACCATTAATGATTGGAATTTTAGAATTAATGGCGACAACACAATGTGGTGTGTAGCTAACGACGACTGACCGAATAAACAGGTAGAATAACCTGAGTTATTACGTGACCAATTCATCACGTGGCAAATTCATCACGTGACCGACTAAACAGGTAAACTAACCTGAGTTTGACCAGGTAGAGGACAATAGAAGCCTGCTTGACATGGTGTACACTGAGTCTCAGCAGAAAGTCCCTTGTCAGATGAGAACTTACCAGCAGGACAGGGCGCTGGTGTAGCTCCAGTTCCTTCCGGGCAGTAGTTTCCTGGGGAACAGTCACTTAATATTGTTCAAATCACAAGATACCTCCCTTCACAGCTCACTCAGTGCTATATCATAACACCTATGTCCTTATCATTAGAAAAAGGGTGAAGCCTAGTAAATCGTCAACAGGATTGAAGGAGATAATCGGGTGTTTGGTAGTGTGGCCGTACAATTTTAGCGAGTATTTTTTGATTTAACGTAGAAAAATAATAACTAAAATGTTTTACACATCTTTCAGATTCAGACACATGGCTATTTTTGGATTAACTCTTTAGAGTCAAATCTTAAACAATCTGAGCTAGAATAAAATACGATGAAGAGTCGTGTATATTGATTTTCAGTTTTGATTCTTAAGTTCTTTTTTCATTATATTTTATATTTTGAATTTCGAGATGTTTAATTTTTTTGATGGCTTATAATTTCTTAATTCGCATTCAAATAATGACACATAAATCATCATAGATTGATAAAAAGGATTTTTTAAAACATTACACCAGATATTGTACACAATTAATACATAACAAGATTAATAACAAAATCTAATATTATTTAAAGAATATCGTTAGTTGGGCCGCTGTGGCTTTTAAAATGTATACCTTGCCGGGGCCATTCAGTTTAGCTAAAACTGATAACTGTTCGTCATTTTGATTTCAAATAACAACACATATTTCACATATTTCGAATAACAACACAATCATATTTTACACATTATTGTCCGTTTTCAAGATGTATGCAAACTGTCCGTGTTTTCTCCAATCTCCGTTCCGTCCAGACAGGATTCAGACCAGCTACTCGTTGAACTTGTGGTATTTCAAAAGGTGCTCTAGAAGATCATCGTCGAGAATTCCCCTGACTAACTCCCACTGGCTGCACGTTCCGGCTTCCACTAAAACGTCACCATTTCTTTTGGCGTTAAGGAAATCCGACCATTCCAGGACGACGTTCTGGTTGAGGTTCAGGTCTAGCTCACCACATCTTCCGCGCTCATACAAGTTGCCGACTTCTTCACTGGATAATTTCTTATCAAGCACCACCAGGTTGTATAGGTCGCCACTAAAAGCCTGGGGCCCCTGAAATCCTCCTCCCCGTTTGTCCTGGTCCTGACCAAGGACAAGAACACCTCCAGCCTTAAGTTTACGACCTGAGGTTGTAGCTTTGTTGGCGACTTCCACTCCGTTTACATATATCCGTCTGGTGGCTGAGGCGAGGTCCCAGCTTTGGCAATAGTGGCTCCAGACATCAGATTCTAGGTTTGAAGCAGAATCTCCTAAGTCATCCTGAAACAGTGAATCAAAACTGGCACCATTATTGCTGATCGTTATCTCGTTATCATCAGAGGAAGCAACCTGGTAGCTAAACCAAACACCATAAGTGTTTCCATTATTCCTGGGTCTAACCCAGGTACAGATTGTGAAGGATGTCTCCATACCCTGGAAATCAGGGTCGTCCAAGATTACATAGTTACTAACCGAGGGGGTGGAAGAGAACCTCATGACTTCCCCAAGAGAAACTACCGGGTCTATAACTAGGAGGAGTAGGGTCACTAGCATCACGGTGATCTTCATTATTGGGATATCTTTCGAGGGACTGTTACAGACACGGATAAGCGTAAATTGACGATCGAACAAAGAACTAAGGTGATTGGTTAAGTCTGCTCAACTTATAAACTGACCTGCTGTCAAGAAAAAATCCAAAAGTCAAAAGTAACGAACCCATACATCATAAATTTTATCCATACTGTAGACGATTATGGCGTCTAATCCATGGGTTGCAACGAAACTTTAAGGTGTTTTTTGACGACGATCAGTACTCAGAAATTAGAATATTTATATCCCCTATTCATTACACAACTGACTCTAACCCACTACTAGCTTTTTATACTTTAACATTGAACATCTGACAATTTTCATCATAAGATTTAGGACTTCTTCAGAAAATGCAGGCAATAAATCTCAAACTATAAATGTGCAACATATATTATCTGTTATTGGCGCCAATACTATGTGGATAAGTTTTATAGTTAAAATAAGTTAACATCGCACGAGCACTTCTATTTCTAACGAATCAGCAATGATAGGAGTTCCTACCAAGCTGAGGATAGACAGATATATCTTATCAGCAAACCCCACTTACTCACTTAGTGTCACAATGTTATAAATTATTGGGATTATTGTAGTATTATAAATTATCATAATATTATATGATGGGACCATGTATATAATAAATTATTATAATATTATGCTGTCAGTATAACATAAGATTGAGATATTTTGGCATTCAATTACTTAACAAGTATTTGGTAGTGTGCTGTGGCCGTACAATTTTAGCAGGTATTTTTTAATTTAACGTAGAAAATTAATAACTAACATTTTTACACATCTTTCAGATTCAGACACATGGCTATTTTTGGATTAATTCTCCAGATTCAAATTTTAAACAATCCGAGCTAGAATTAAATACGATGAAGAGTCGTGTATATTGATTTTCAGTTTTGATTCTTAAGTTCTTTTTTCATTATTATATTTTGAATTTCGAGATGTTTAATTTTTTTGATGGCTTATAATTTCTTAATTCGCATTCAAATAATGACACATAAATCATCATAGATTGATAAAAAGGATTTTTTAAAACATTACACCAGATATTGTACACAATTAATACATAACAAGATTAATAACAAAATCTAATATTATTTAAAGAATATCGTTAGTTGGGCCGCTGTGGCTTTTAAAATGTATACCATGCCGGGGCCATTCATTTTAAATAAAAATGATGACTGTTCGTCATTTTGATTTCAAATATCAACACATATTTCACATATTTCGAATAACAGCACGATCATATTTGACACATTATTGTCCGTTTTCAAGTTTCATGCAAACTGTCCGTGTTTTCTTAAATATCCGTTCTGTCCAGACAGGATTCAGACCAACTACTCGTTGAACTTGTGGAATTTCAAAAGGTGCTCTAGAAGATCATCGTCGAGAATTCCCCTGACTAACTCCCACTGGCTGCACGTTCCGGCTTCCACTAAAACGTCACCATTTCTTTTGGCGTTAAGGAAATCCGACCATTCCAGGACGACGTTCTGGTTGAGGTTCAGGTCTAGCTCACCACATCTTCCGCGCTCATACAAGTTGCCGACTTCTTCACTGGATAATTTCTTGTCAAGCACCACCAGGTTGTATAGGTCGCCACTAAAAGCCTGCTCCGCAGCAAATCCTCCTCCCGGACTGTCCTGGTCCTGACCAAGGACAAGAACTCCTCCAGCCTTTAATTTACGACCTGAGGTTGTAGCTTTGTTGGCGACTTCCACTCCGTTTACATAGATCCGTCTGGTGGCTGAGGTGAGGTCCCAGCTTTGGCAATAGTGGCTCCAGACATCAGATTCTAGATTTGAAGCAGAATCTGCTAAGTTGTCGCTAAACAGTCTATCCCAACTGGCACCATCATTGCTGAACGTTATCTCGTTATCATCAGAGGAAGCAACCTGGTAACTAAACCAAACACCATAAGTGTTTCCATTATTCCTGGGTCTAACCCATGCACATATTGTGAAGGATGTCTCCATACCCTGGAAATCAGGGTTGTCCAAGATTACATAGTTACTAACCGAGGGGGTGGAAGAGAACCTCATGACTTCCCCAAGAGAAACTACTGGGTCTATAACTATACTAAGAGGAGTAGGGTTACTAGCATCATGGTGTTCTTCATTTTGAGATATCTTTCGAGGGACTGCTACAGACACGGATGAGCTTAAATTGACGATCTAACAAAGAACTAAGGTTATTGGTTAAGTCTGCTCAACTTATAAGCTGACCTGCTGTCAAGAAAAAATCCAAAAGTCAAAAGTAACGAACCCATACACCATAAATTGTATCCATACTGTAGACGATTATGGCTTCCAATCCATGCGGGTTGCACCGAAACTTTAAGGTATCTTTGACGACGATCAGTACTCAGAAATTATAATATTTATATCCCTTATTCACTGCACTACTGACTCTAACCCGCTATTCGCTTTTTATACTTTAACATTGAACATCTGACAATTTCATCATAAGATTTGGGAGTTCTTCGCCTAAATCTCAAACTATAAATAAAATGTGCAACATATATTTATGTTAATTATCTGTTATTGGCGCTAATACGAGCACTTCTAACGAATCAGCAGTGCTAGGAGTTCCTACCCAGCTGGGGATAGACAGATATATCTTATCAGCAAACCCCACTTTGTGACACAAACAATGCCATAAATTATTATAATATTATAAATTATTATAATACCCTAAATTATTATAATATGTACTATTTCGTCTTAATATACACTTTCACAAGCCAAGTTACATAGGTCGGTATAATTGCGGTGCTCCAGTGGAACAACAAAGTCAAAGCAACAGACCAGCTTATTCTAAACCATTCAACTTCCAGCATTTGGTAGTATTTTACATAAATGACATATTTTACATAAATGACATATTTTACATACGTTTCATATGTTATAATTTACATAATATGTTACCTGCGGTACACTCGTTAGAGTCAGGTTCGTCAGTGCCAGCAGGACAATAGTACTTAGCAGGGCAGATATCGTCATCAGTAACCTTGCTCATTCCTGCTGTCTGAGGAAAGGATGGGTTAGTTGACAGACAAGAAACAGGCAGATTTGAAACAGACGGGCGGGCAGACGAAGGAAATTACTGACACACAAGAACCAGACCTACACAGATCTCGGAGAGATCACGGACACAGACTGTTCGGCTAACTAAAAAACCACAAAATCGATGCATATTAACAAGAGTAATTAAAGAAATATAACCTCGTGGACAAAACAGACGGATAAACACTAACCTGGCAGAAGTATCTGGCAGGGCAGGGTTGTTGAGTCTCACTTCCTCGGGGGCAGATGTGACCAGGGGTACACTGACCCCCCGTATCTCCAGTAGGAGGGGTGCCACTCATAGCACCACCCGTACAGTAGTACCCGGCCTCGCACTCCTCTGAGTTACACGTTTAGTTAGTTAATTAAGTTAGTTGGTTAGTTCGGTTAGTTAACTCGGAGGAATCTATCGGATTTAATATTAAAGGTGATCGTTCAAGAATGTAAAAATTGTTTGTTGTGTTTTTTAATTGGAATTTGGAAATGCTAGCTCGCATTCCATAAAAATCAAAACAAACCAGTTGGACCGTCCAGCCCTGTGGTAGCACAGAAGTACCCCGCTGTACAGGGTTTACACGCATCAGCAGTGGCCCCCTTGGGATCAGGGTTGAACGTTCCTTGGTCGCACTTTGTAGCTGTTGCTTGACCTGACATAGGGAGAATTATTGGTTACATGTGTGAGGTTAGAGTAGTGGTTTCAACAAAAAGAAAAGTTTTTGTTGTACTGGAATTTTTATAATGCTGTTCAATACAGAAGGTCAAATAAAGAACCATGGATAAAGGAGGAAAATGGATATAATAATAATGTATAATAATAATATTAAACACTCACTTGATCCTTCGGCACACCAGTGACCGAGCTTACATTCGCTGTTCTGGTAGTCTGTAGCTCCCACCTCACACGTGTAACCTACGAACAGCAAATTAGTAAGACAGACAGACAGACAGACAGACAGACAGACAGACAGACAGACAGACAGCCAGCCAGCCAGACAGACAGACAGACAGACAGACAGACAGACAGACAGACAGACAGACAGACAGACAGACAGACAGCCAGCCAGACAGACAGACAGACAGACAGACAGACAGACAGACAGACAGACAGACAAACAAACAAACAAACAAACAAACAAACAAACAAACAAACAAACAAACAAACAAACAAACAAACAAACAAACAAACAAACAAACAAACAAACAAACAAACAAACAAACAAACAAACAAACAAACAAACAAACAAACAAACAAACAAACAAACAAACAAACAAACAAACAAACAAACAAACAAACAAACATTACCTGCATGGCACTGTTGACAGGATGCCTGAGCTTGTTTATTATTGTAGGTCCCTGCTTCACACTCGGTAGACTTCTCGCTCCCAGTCGGACAGTAAGTTCCCAACCCGCAAGAGTTCCCTGTAATTGTTATTGAGCAACTATATTTACTTAAATAATTTACATAATTATATTTACTGAACTTATCTTGTTTTAATTATCATTTAACATATAGGTTAATCAATCAACAAAGATTTAGTTTTCAATTTTATTGGGAACATAATTAGTTAAAATTTCAAAAACACACCCGTGTTTCCGTCCGTGGGGTTCTTCTGAGTGGCTTTACTGGTACAATAGTAACCAGCCTGGCATTCACCAGCAGGTGCTAAAAGTCCTGAAGTGTCGCAGTAATGCCCTGCCGTGCAGTCCGTACAACCTGCAATTTAATTACATTTACTGATTATTTAACTGAATAATTTGTTAAATGATGTAGTTGATTTAATAAATGATAGTTTTTCCCGACTTAACACGCCATATATAATATTTACTTTACCTTACGGTCAGATCTAAGTCGTTAAGTATTTTAGGCTCCAACCATTGAAAGAGCATTACTTAAAAAAAAACAATCACACTGATTAATTCTCACACTCAACAACCAGCTGACAACCCAATAAACCTACCATCCTGATCGATGAGGCCCGGTTTAGCTCCGAACGTTCCCCTCTCACACGGTACCCAGTCAATACCAGTCTCCTCCGGACAGAAGTAACCTTGTGGGCACTCTTTTGGTTCTATCTGGAAAATAAAAAAGGGCATTTTCGTGTCAAATACGGTTTTAAGGTTGCGGTTTTTTAGATCTTTAAAAAATATAATATCGTGTTAAATTTGAGGTTATGTTTGTATATTGCTATGAAGTCATGGACAAGTAAGCTGGAATAATCAGGATATAATAGAGTAATAGTAATATAATAGTAATATATTATAATTAATGGTAGCAATATAATATAAGTAGTAATATAGTATAAGTAATATAATATAAGGACTCCCTACAATTAACTTCCACATTTGTTCATGAAACGATAAAAGGAATTTATGCCGTACAAGTGCGTTACGACTGTAATACCTTAATAGTTAAATTATGCTACAAACTTAAGGTTTATTAATAGACAATTTGATCAATTAAATGAATTCCATGAATTTAATGACTTTGATGACTTGGGTGATTTTAATGATTTTAACGATTTTTATTAATTTAACAAATTTAACGAATTAAGAATATTGAAATCTAAGCTGAATGAAATGAACATTAGTGGTTACCCCTGTAGTGTAGGTGAATGAGGCTTTGTGGAAGTTGATCTGAAATATTTAATCCACTTTTTAAAATGTTCGTGAGAAAATAGGAAGTTGACACTATAGTTATCGGATGAGACCCAATTCAAATTGAAAGAACACTGAACAGTTTGATCAAATCTTGACTATCAAAAATCAAACTGAGTTACCGTGGATCACGGTCGCTATATTACATTTTAATTGTTAAATCTGCATGTAAAAAGTCGTTTCAATAGAACGACATTCGTTTTAAAATAAAAAGCGGAGTTATCATATCATTTAGTTACAAGTCAGTTAAATACCTTCTCATCGCAATAAAATCCGGCAGGACAGTCGATACAGCTCTCAGCTTTAGTGGCATTATTGTAAGTACCATCCGAACAGTCCAGTGGTCGAGTGGAACCAGCCGGACAGTAGGTTCCTTCCGGACATGGTCCCCCGATATCAGCTGCTGTATCCGACCTGGGCGTGTGGAGTGGGGTAAGAGACATTCACAAACTTTGCTAACAATTAACTTCTTAAAAATACAAATATACAGTAGAAAATCTCCTAATCAGTCAGAAAACAAGTGATGTATTTAACGTGATACGACTGGCTTATCGAACGTTATATCAGTAACAAGTCACGTGATATACATAACGTGAGAAACCCACCCAGGGTTAGGACCAGTATTCTTGGTGTTACAATAATAACCAGCATCACAGTCCTCCCCACCAGTCTCATCTCCTACTCCGCAGTACTTTCCTCCCGGGCAGGGGAAACAGTCTGTGTCAGAGTTTCCCTCCTGGTCCATGTAGCTGCCAGCTGGACAGTTGTACGGGGTCGAGGTGCCCTCTGAGGAGGGGGAGGGGTTTATACTTCTTGAATCTTGGTTTAGTAAAACGAGTTTATAATAAGCTATAATCTCGATGGTACATACATTTGGTAAAATGGTTTATTTTCCCTGTTCAGTACCTTAAGTACTTAAATAACTAGATTGCTCATTTTTGTATGCCCATGATTGATAGTATAAGTCTGATAACTGGATAATAGTAGTTTATTTTATTCAGGTACTACGGAAATGTTCCCCTCTGTCTTAATACTTTAATAGGAGAGTATTCCAATTATGTGAAAAATGGACTCACGTGTACAGTATTTTCCCACAGGGCAGATATTCCCAGTGTTCCCGTCGTCAGGTTGCGAGAACTCAGCTCCAGAAGTACAGTAGTACTGAGGAGCGCATTGTCCAGACACCTTGTCTAGACCCGGCTTTACACAGTAACTGGGTGGGAGATGGGAGGTCAGGATGGGACATGGTGGGGTAGCATAGGAAATAGTGGGACATAGTGAAAGATAGTGGGGTAGAAAGGGGAAGAGGGGGGCAGGGTGAGGTAGCCAAGATTCATTAAATTATAAAATTATGAGCTGAGTATTGAGAAAATGGCAAATGTTGATATCCGCAGTATCAGAGTAAACTCCAAACAAAAACTACTGACTGGCCAGCAGTACACGGAGTACAATCGTCTAGTTCATGTCCCAGTTCATCAGTACGGAATGTACCCGCCGGACACAGCTTGGGAGTTCCGGACTGCTCCGGACAGTATCGTCCGACAGGGCAGCTCTTGTGGGTAGCCTGTACAGGGGCAGATAACTAAAACAACTTTGTTTTTATGTACAGAAACAATGTACATGTATTTTGTACAATGTACATGTATTTTGTACAATGCACATGTATTTTGTTAATGTATATGTATTTTGTCATAATTAAGTTTGAAGCAGTTTGAGATTTGAAAATCCCACAAAAAATGACGAAATCTCAGAGTACATGTTACTAACATTGGTAGCGCCTCCGTCACAGTAGTAACCAGCAGAGCACTTCATTGTAGGTTCAGAAGTTCCCTCTTCACAGTAGAAACCCTCTGGACATGACAAACATTCGTCCTCGTTTTGAAGTCCTGATAAGGAGGTGGTGACGTCATCATGAAATTTTAGTGACGTCTGACGTCATCGTGACGGAATTTTAAATGTGGTAATACAGTCTGTATAAGAAGGTCTAAGTGCCTAAAAATAGCAAGATAACTATAATTTATCAAAACAAAGGTAGACATCGACGTAAATCAATGACGTCACAACTTATTGATGACGTCATTAAACCTCGAGTGTTGCTGTAAGTGCCGGCTGGACAGGGGTATTCCTGGTATGGTCCGGTCTGCTCTGGGCAGTAGTAACCTGGACAGAGGGGCAATATTAGTGGTACTGGTTATAGCTCACTGATTCTTGTCTCTATACATTGATTAGAGGATTAGTAACCGTTCGGTTATCTCACAATTACATGAATTTAATTACATATAACTGATAATGATTATTCCATGATTATACCCCGTAACTACACAATCATCACTCCGACCCACGTGACTATATAAATTCGTCAGTCCGACCCACGTGACAATATACATACCCTCAGGACAGATGGTGTAAGTGCTGGTACCCCTCCCCGGGCAATAGTTAGTAGCATCACACGGTAAGCACTCCTCCTTGCTGTAGTCCTGTTGGAAGTGGCCGGGTGGGCAGCTGGTCATGTTAGTGGAACCTGGGTGTAAGGAGGTGATTGTTATGGAATTGAGGTGGTTGGAGGTATTGTGGACAGGATGGAGACGAGATTACTAAGTGTGATAAGGTCATGTGAAGATGAGGGTGAAGTTTCGGTTGTAAGAAACGAGTACTACAGGTCAGGGATATTATTTGCCAGAAAGCTAGACCAATATGGTTGCAGGATGTTAATCGGTAAAGACCCTGGGAACTTGTTCTATAGACTACAGAGAAGATTGTCCCACCCTAGGGTTATAATGAATCTTATTAGGGTATGAGCTGTAATTTAGGTTAAGAAGTTGGCAGTTGTAACTAACCTGGTTCACAGAAGTGCCCAGGTTTACACTCGTACTGATAAGGAGAACCTGAGGTCTGTTTCTCCGGGCAGTAAAACCCGGCCATACAGTCACCTGTTATCTGAAGGAGGAGAGTGTCTGAGAGTCCTTAAAATAAAATTATTGATGTGTAATAATTTTGAATGTTGTATTGGAGATGTTAAACATCAATAAAATTACGAGACACTACGTGCTCTTGCGCTCTAGCCTAGTAATAAACCCGGGTTCTGATCAATACTGCTACGAAGGTAGTCCTGTGCAGCGGTCAGAAATAATTATTGATTAATATTTAATAATAATTAACAAAGTTTAAGAAGAGTTACTTGAGTGGTATCCTGGCAGTAAGAACCAGCTGGACAAGGCTCACAATCATCCACTGTCTCCGCACCTTCAGTGTTCCTGAGGTAGAAATTAAATGAGACGATAATGGTGCTATAATGAGGAGGTAATAGGAAGTTAATGAGGTATAATTAATATTTAATCAATTAATCAGCAATGTAATTGTTAAGTTACCTGTAAGTACCCTCAGGACAGACAGCAGGTTCAGTAGTGCCCTCACCACAGTACTTCCCTTTGGGACACTTCATGTTATCAGGGTTTATAACAGATGCTCCAGAGGTACAGTAGTATCCTGTGAGTGGGATTTGAGGGGAGATTGTGGTGGCTTGTTATTATTACTCCTGGATCTGGCTACAATCCCGCTTGGTTGTGAGAAATTGTGAAATTTTTCAACGCAATTGTTTGTAAAGATTCTATTTTCGGTTTTATCTAAGTCTGGTAGGTTATAAAACTATTACTTCATTTGTGTTTGACAATGTGTTCAACTCCACATATTCCATAAAAGTAACCCACAAACTAACATAAGTAGTCCACTTTTTGAATTGCCGATGAATATTTTCCTATCTGTTATCAACAAGGCTTCAGATCTGACAGTAGAATCCTAACTTTAACAGCGAGTCAATGATATCCGAAAGTAGTGGAGTTTTGACTTTTTGTGCGTCAACCAGACCGTAGAAGCCAACCTTTACCTTTCATCACCCATTAAAGATATTCTGCGTATCAATAGCGGCTGTTTAAGAAATGCGTACAAGATAGTTATTTATTGAACTTATAAAGCACTGGCGATGTAACATGTAAAAACCAAAATATATACTCGCGCTTCTTAGAAAGGGGTCGTGCTGGGGTTTCAAGGTTTGGGCGTGACAAAGTTAACTATATCGATTTATGAATGATTCGTCGTTCTATTCTATTGATTCTGGAAGTTAATACAGTTAAAAAGCACTGTCATTTGATACTTAAACCGAAAAAACGAAATACCACTAACAAATTGGTAAAAAAGGGGGTGGACTTTTCAAATGTCACAGGATTGAGGATGTGTGCCTTTGCCAATTTGATATTAAGAAGTCGATTTAAGAGTCCATTTAGTATAATTATGAATAGAAAATCCTTAAATTTTCACGATCAACCAGAATTGTAACCAGATACTCGACTACAACGAGGTTATATTAGAAATCAGATCGTTCTCGACTGCTTTAAATTAATAAAAAAGACTAAAACCAAAAACAGCAATTTCAACTACCTTACTCGGGAATATTATGACTGGGATAAAGTGGTGGGTTTTGGAAAATTCCGCCATATTTTTCCCGGTCATTAATTTTCCCAGTCATAAATTACCCGCTATAATGTTCCCGAGTAAGGTAAACTAATAGTAATACATTTTGATGCTTGGTGGGTTTTGGAACATTCCGCCATATTTTTCCCGGTCATTAATTTTCCCAGTCATAAATTAACCCGCTATAATATTCCCGAGTAAGGTAGTGTACTCAATTTCACATTGAGAATATCAATATCACCCTGTACCTGCAGCACATTGCTGGTCAGGGTTCTCCAGCCCAACAGAGGTACAAGCCCACCCTGGACTACACGGTGCCGGAGCACTGGATCCGGAGTTACAGAAGGATCCTGCCGGACACTCCCCTCCAGTCTCGCTGTCAGGAGTAGGGGCCTTAGATGTTGCTCCTAGCGTACAGTAGTAGCTGTGGAGGTGGGGTTTTAGTTCAGGGTCGGAGAAGACATAGGGGAACAACTTCCGAATGTAATGCTAACAATGTAAGCAAATTCACATATCATATTTTCAGGATATGTGATCACCAGAATATCATATCCTGAATAACCACAAAACTGAATAACGTTTGATAATGATAAAACTAAAATATTATGCATTTATATAACTAAAACTACACTACTGACCCAGGATCACAGTCTTGAGGGCTGGTGGTGCCCTGTTCCCTGCAATACTGTCCCGGGGGACACGACTGACACACGCTGCTGTTCACTGCACGTGTCTGCGCGCTGTAGGTACCAATAGGGCACAGCTCTGGCTCAGAGTTTCCTGGGTGCAATTTATCGGTTTAGCTTAATTATAGAAATCTAAATTTAGTCTCTTTATGATAGTGAAGATAGACTATCGTCATCAACTGTCACTTAATCTACCTCTAAATAATCAATATTTTTGATAATGTTTCAAATTGACAAATTAACAAATAAAATAATCAACAGATTATCAAATTATCAAATAACAAATTAACATATTATCTAATTAACTCACCTCCAGTACAGTAACCACCAGGAGTACACTCAGATTTAACACCACTCTCCTCTCCTCCCAGACACAGGTAACCAGCCTCACATTCTGTAGATAATATGTTGGGTTAGTTGGGATAATAAGTATTAATTCCTAATATCAACAAAGGTACGATGTACATTCATAGAAATTGTTATCCCTCCAAGGTCATCATTAGGGATATGGGAGGGGGAACTAGCAACCGTCCAAGTCTAATCTTACCTACAGAAAAGTTTAAATTTCACGGAATTTAAATTTAAATTCCGATCAACAGGTGCTCAATTTAAAATAAAAAAGCTTAACTAAGTAAGCAACATTAAAACAAGTGAAACTATCAACCTTTGCACTCTGAAAGACCTTTAGTCTGGCTATAGAACCCAGGCTCGCATCTCTCTCCAACTCCCTTCTTACAGTAGAACCCGGCATCACATTCCCTACCTTCTCCTGATATATTATTATTAAGATATAATAAATTTAGTGTTATGTTATGAAAAACAAACATCAAATCATATCACAGTTAATTATTGATCTATAGTGCTCGAAACCCTCATAATATGAACTATGAAGTCGCACGTACAGATAAGCGCACGTGCAGTTACCTTTGTTGTTCTTGCCGTCAGGTCGGGGAGTGTCTACACCAGACTCACAGTAGAACCCATCCTCACACACGTCAGTGGGGGCGGGTAGACCTGTAGACTCACAGTAGTGACCTGGAGGCGAGATATGTAAGGATTAGGCACAGGATAAACGTAAGATTCATACTTCACAGTTAGCTTTATCTCTTTTGATTTACTTAGACTGAGACGCAGTTTGAAGATCGCTCTAAAATAACTAATAAAACTTTATGGTTAGAAACTTGTAGAGAAACTAGAAAGATGGAATAGTTATGATTACCGGATGTGCAAGGAAGACACTTATCCTTGGTTCCAGCACCAAGTTCAGGGTTGTAAGTTCCGGTAGGACATCGGACACCTCCTGCACTTCCTATACCCTGAGTAATGTGGGGTCAGAACGTGGGGTCAGAAAGTGGGGTCAAAACGTAAGGTGAAAGGTTACAACAAGTCTATACTAGACTAAATTTCAAGAAACTCAGTCCTTTAGTGTTGGAACTGTAAATGAATCTTCCAAATCGCTGAACTTTTATCCGATACAAAAATGTAAAAGCATGTACATAGTTCGAACCTTGGTGCAATACTGTCCCTTAGGACAGGGATCGGGAGTGACAGTCCCGGTGCCACTACACATCTTAGTTTGAGGACATTCCAAACAAATACTTGCTTCTTTCTCTCCCATATACTTGCCATCCTGCAGGGTAACAATATTAGTAGTGGTGTTAGAACGTACAGAACAGGTGCACACTACTGTGGAAGGGTGTTGTAGTACTGGGTAATGGTTAAATGGCTAAACTCTGAGTATTCGAAGAGAACCCTACTTTGAAGTACCCTGACACTCACTTTAACATGGACACGAAGGCGGAGCTAAACACCGTCCTAAACGATGAAATAGTAATGAACTTGTAACATCACACAATTTGGCTCATTATCACTAACCGGACAGGGTACATGATTAGGACTCTCTCCAGGACAGTAGCTACCAGCCGGACAAGAGTTCTGGGTATTAGAGGAGGACCCAGCAGGACAGTAGTATCCGTCCTTGCAGTTTCCTGTCTCTTTCGTCTCTCCTCCTGAAGACAGATACTTTTAAAGATGTTTCCTTGTGTTGAAGTAGCAATAATTGATGTATGAGTGCGGAATAAAATATATCCTTGTGTTTGAAAAGTGATAGTGAAGTAGTTACCTGAGCAGTAGAACCCGGCCGTACAAGGATCACACTCGTCAGCTGCTGTCAGTCCTCTTTTGTTCGAGAACTTACCCGCCGGACACGGCTCCTACGTGAAGAAAAGCTTGTTAATTTTAGATGTTCAGAAACAGTTAAAAATATGTCGTGTCAAACAAAGATTATATTTTTAAACTTGTTGTATTATGCTATATAGTATATGCTCTCGTTAGACTCTGACGATGCTTTTACAGATATTCAGTAAGAATAAAAATATCACATTATAATTCTCAATTCTTAACGGGTAAGAGATAACCAGTTTCACTCAGATACGTCCTCAAAACACAAGTTAACAACTATATTAATTGCAGCAAGGTGTTAAATAACACTGACCTCAATGGTAGTTCCTAGCTGACAGAAATGTCCCGCTCGGCACTTCATGGAGTCTGATACTTCAGACACTCCGGCGGTACACATGTAACCTGATCAGATGGTAGCACTGTTATTTATTTAAAAAAAGGAAAGAACGAGAAATAGCTTCCAAGTCCTATGTTAAGTAAGCTGTATCGCTCATCTTAATGGCGAGAAATCAAGAATGTCGAAGATACTTTCGCCATAGCAGAAAATAAACTACGCTAAATTTCGCACCTTAACGACGAAAATTCATCATTCTGTAGATGAATCTCGCCTCCAATAAATCACTGAAATCTTAAAAAACCCCCAAAAATCCCATAAAAAAAGACGTACCAGCGGGACACTTAACAACAGGTGTCTCCAGCCCAGCTTCATTGCAAAGGAACCCAACACTGCACTTAACACAGTGACTGGAGAGAGACTTCCCTGTCAGGGAGTTGTAGGTTCCTTGTGCACACTTGTCTCCTACTGATGAACCTGGAGTTGGTGGGATCACGTGAGAGGTGGTTATTTGTAGTGATTTAAGATTAGCAGTTGATATCTCTGATAACAATACTAGAGGTCCTCATGGTTTTTCTACTGAATATGATTATACCAAACATGGATAATTAGTAAGGAATAATTAGTAATAATAATTAGTAAGGAATAAGATATAAAATAGCACGTACCACTAGGACAGTATCTACCCACAGGACAAGGTCCCCCACAAGCATCACCCACACCGGGCTCCCCTTTAGAGCACCCTCCCTGACACACAAACCCAGCTGTGCACTCCTTCAGGGTTTCTTCTGTGGTCCCCGCGTTGGGACAGAACTTACCTGTGGAGAGCGGGTGTTCAGTTGCTGTTTTTGGCAAAATATTTAACTGTAATTATTGTCATTTTAGGGGTTTGTATTAGGAGTTTATTATAGTGCTTTGTATTTATATTAAAACTGTATATATAATGCTATATATAGCATTAGCTAGACTACAATCTTAGAGCTGGTATAGTTTTATTTGTTTACATGTTTTAAAGAACTAAGACATAAAACACAGTTAACGTACCCGCAGGACAAGGTCCACAGTCGTCCTCACTGTGTAATCCAGTAGTTGCTCCGTACTTTCCTGCAGAGGGAGTCACGTGTACAGAGATTTTAGTGATTTATGTTATTGATTGGTAACGGACCTGATCAGTGATCAATGACTGTAAAGTGTAAATTACGAGTTTCTATAATGATCTGAGTAGTAATCGAGTGGTAATTGGGAGGTAATTGGGTGGTAACTGAGTGGTCATTAAGTGGTGATTAAAATGGGACTAACCACTAGGGCACAAGTGTTCCTCTCCAGCTGCAGTTCCTTTAGGACAGAAGGAACCTAGCGGACACTCCTTCACCTGATCTCCTGTATCCTGATTTTAAAAATGTATTTTTTAAAGAAATCTTTATTAAATAAGATTAAAATGTTAAATGATGACGGATGACCTGAGACGGTTACTAAAATTAACAGGGAAATAAACAGTATAAACGCTCACCATTTTAATACTTTCAACACTACTATTATATATTTAAATACTAATCTAGTAGTGTTATATATTACAAATAATTTCAGATCACGAATACGATGTTGTCACATTGAAACGACTGGTAATTCCTTTCCTGATATGAGCCATTTCCTTGTCGCAACAAACGGGATCAATGCAAATTTTGCCCAAGAAACATAACAACTATGCGACTAATAAATAATGTTCCTATCCGGATATTACCATGGAGTCACAGTAGGATCCAGAGGGGCACTCCACACAGCTAGTCTGTCCTGCTTCCAACTGGTAGGTACCAGCTTCACATCTCTCTGGGTCACCCTTACCTCCAACACACCTGAACAGTTTAGTGGTAATTGTGTGGTAATTGAGCGGTAATTGTGTGGTAATTGAGTTGTAATTGAGTGGCAACTACCTCCATCACACCTGAGCGTAAACCAATAACCAGTTTAGTGATCACTGGTGAAACAGAACTGTTGTATGACGCACGGGGTATCAAACCAGGGGAGACTTTTGAGGGTCTTAGTGACCTATTAGTGACCTACTATTAGAGGATGTTGTAGGTCGTAGGATAGGAAAGGGGGTACTAGATCCCAATTTGGAATCTAGTGTCTTGAGTTGGTGACTGGTGTGACGGAAGTTTATGATGGTGTAACATTGGAAAGACAGTGTTTGGAAATATAATAAGTGATCTATGTAATACAATTATCTCTCTCAAAATTAGATAAGTGGCCAGGGATATGGATTTTTAATTGACGCCACCCGGATGATGATTCCCGACTCTTTTAAGATCGTACAGAGTTGAAACCGTGGATTCCAATTAATATTAAGAAGCCAGCCATCTAGTAGTTTCTAAATTGCTTTGTTGCGAAGCAATCCTTTATGTATACAGCCGACCAAAAGGGAGGATTCTGACTAAAGTTGTGTTTACACATAAGTCCGACAAATTTATATAAAAAATCGAATTCACGGAATCATGTCAGTTTAACTAATTTTGATATTGGTTATTAATATTGAAATGGAATTTCATGTTATTCAGATTGATGTTCGCAGCTTGAATCACGAATTCGTGTGCATCTACGTTATATGATTTGATTGAAAGCCCCTCGTCAGGGGATTGTCTCTAATGGACCAATTTATTGTTTACATCATAATAAGTTAAAAATAAAGACCCCAATGGGCACTCCTGAAAACATAACTAATAGAAAATATATCAAAACTAAATAGAAAAACTGAGGTCAAATGTATAGTAATAAAATCGCAACAAACTGCAAATAATGGAAAATAAATTTTGAATTCGTTATTTAATGGCACGCAGCAGATTATAAAAAATGTAATAAAAGTAAAGCAAAAATTTTGTTTAAAAAACACATTTACAAAGGGGTTTGAGTTATTAATTAATTTAACTATACGACAAACAGATTATTTTAAAAATTTACAGATTATAAACATAGCATTGATTTGGTTTGGTATAAAAGTGATAGAAAACAAATTTAAAAACTCAATTCTGGACGTTGGATTTAGCCCCAATTAGCAGCAAAAACAATTAGGAATTTCTGTTTCTAGTGGACCTACGGAGGCCACCGATTTCGTGGATGAGAAATTTACTCGTGGACCACTAATTTACATTATTATCCCCCTTCTGCAGCTTCAGTATTGTTATCTTGGATTGTGATTTGAACGCCTTCAGCGATTGGCCTGACACTGAATTGAATGCTTCGTCTATCGATGCGTCTACAAATAGGAGTGGGCCATTGAAGAATATTGAATTTCTATGTGTGGCAGTATTGCAGTCATTGAACCATTCATAGTTAGCTTCAGTGATAGCTTCTGAGTTTCGAGACGGCACATTTTCGTGCATAGTTTTTGCGACGGGAGGAGGGAGCTGATTAGGGAAATAGAAAATTGTATTAATGAAAATTAGCGAATTAGATAAGATTATGCTGTGTATAGTTAGGATCAAGTAGTTGCTGAATAAAAACTTGGTACCAGTAGGAGGTGTCCCATCTTTATAAAAATAATTAACAAATTCTGGCATTACGGCTCTAATACCTTTCTTTTGTTGACAGAATAAACACTCAATTTTGGTCTTGGACGTGAAACCCCAGACCAAGGAGCAGTAGTTTAGGTGTGGTTGAATAAAACTGTGGTAGATTTGAATTCTAACTTCTAAGGGAATGTATGATTTGATTTTGTACAATATGCCAACAAATCGGGCCATTTTACACTTTAGAGCTTTTATGTGAGATAACCAAGTTAATTTTTCATCAAGAATCACACCTAAGAACTTAGCTTCGTTCAAGCGCAAGATATTTACGTTGTTTATGATAACTGGGAAGAGATTAGGTATCTTCTATCGGGAAAATAGCATATAATTTGTTTTTTTGAGATTAACAATTAATCCATTGACATTTGACATAATATGTTGTTACCGGATATTATAATGTTGGCATCATCTGCATATAAAACGAACTTTGTTAGTGTGCTTATGCCAGGTAAGTCGTTAATATATAGGTCAAAGAGTAGAGGACCTAGGATGCTGCCTTGTGGTACTCCATACTTCATATCCCTGCACGAGGAGTCAGCGCCATTAATACTAACATATTGTTTTCTATTCGTAAGGTATGACTTAAACCATTTATTAGCGATGCCTCTTATACCGTAATGATTAAGCTTGTGTAGAAGTATATCGTGATCTACTATCTCAAAAGCCTTAGAAAAGTCAATGAGGAGGAGAAGAGAAATTTGCTTGTTATGTAATGAGCTAATAAGAGTATTTTGCGCATCCAAAAGTGCATGTTCACAAGATCTACCTGCCCTAAATCCATACTGTCGTTCATATAAACTTGAATTTTGATTCAAGAATTATACAAGTCTAGCATGCATAACTTTTTCGTAAATTTAGGAAAAAGCTGCCAGTAATGAGAGCCGTTTTTGTGTATAGGAACAACTCTAGCAACTTTAAGTGCCTGTGGGAACACTCAATCTTCTTCAGCGACTGTGAGATTGTTCCAGTAAGTGCATTAACAAATTTAACATCTTCAGATGCTAGTTTGAGTGCAAAGATTTTAGTATCTTTGGAATTTTTGTTTTTCAACTTTTTGACAATATCATAAATTTCCCAGTTACTTATAGCTGGCCTAATGAAGATTGCCGTTTTCGTCTACGAGTTTATTAATTCCAGTATTCTTTTTGGTTCTATTAAGAACAATATTGATCATCTGCCATTGCATGAGTTATCGCTGTGCTCTTCGAAATACTTTTTGTAATACTTGCGTTTTGCTGTTTGCATTATTCTTGTGCTCTTAACAGAACTTTTTCATCTTATCATACTTAGTTTTATTCTGAATATTGGGTTCTTTGAAATAATCTAAATAAAGTAAATTTTAACGATTAAAGGAGTCTTCAAGCCATGGTATGATCCAAGGCTTTGGGTCGAGCCTTTTTGTGTTTTCTGCGAGTTCGTTTATTGTTAAGGGGGTAGGCGGTGTTGTGGTCAGTGTAAATTTTATCAACTTTTTCGTAACGCGTTTCTGCACATAATTTAAACCATCAAGCTCCCATGATTCATCATGTATCAACCTTTTAAATTTTTAAATTTTTAAATTTTTCGTTGTTGGCCTTATTAAACATCATATATATTCATGTTTTTTATCGGTCTGAGTACATTTACCAAGTATGGGTTCAAAAGGTCGTGCAGCTCAGTCGGAAGATGGAGCGAGGGAAAGGCGTACATATGTACCCAAATGATCAGATAAGTCGAGTGCCAATACACTAAAACTTATAATTTTTCAACTTTGTTGCTATATTCATGATCAATCAGGGTGGCACTGTGGTCCGGTCAGTTATGCGAGTAGGTCGGGACTCGGGATATAATCTGTGTGAAACCGTAGGAAGGGGCAGTGTCAATCAAATTTTGGGATTTTTCATCACATTCATGCATTCGTGGTTTATTAAATTAATGTTAAAGTCACCCGCTTGAACAATCTGCTTTCTCCCGTGAGATCTTAATTTTGATAGGATCTCGTCGAAACTTTCGATAAACTTGGAAGAATTGCTGGAATATATGTAAACATTGAATATATAATATCCAATAATACAGTCCACAGTGTATCTGTCTTAGGAGACTTTTAAAAATACCCAAAAACACGTGGTCCAGGAAATAAAGCGCCATAATATTATACATGTCAAAATTGTATTAACTTGTATCTCGGTGCTACTTTCGATGTTATTTCCTCTTTTAGTGTTAAACCAGTTACCAGAAGTATGTGTTTAATGAGAAACAGATTTTTCCTAATTTGTGATATAAGTTTGCTATACTCCGGCTATTCTATAACTAGGGTCATTTAACTAGGGCCGTATAACTAGGGCCATTTCGTCGAATTCCATCTATGATATGATTATTACATTATCATTATGATTATGATGAATGAATAAAATATTATTATGATTTTTGATTGGACTCATCCAATGACAAAAGTGCTATCGACGAGAAATTGAATGACACCAACAAGGTCCTCATTATTATAAATTACCAGGAGAACCCATCAATCTTAATAATCTCAAGAACCCTGTGTGTGTGTGTGTGTGTGTGTGTGTGTGTGTGTGTGTGTGTGTGTGTGTGTGTGTGTGTGTGTGTGTGTGTGTGTGCGGGAAATTTCCGAACGGTTATATAAAAAACGGTAAGAGTTCCGGGACTGGTTTTTTCGGTATAGTGCCGACAAAACTCTGACGAAGCCCATAGGCAATTTTTTTTAAATCGGCCGGTGGTAAGTGGCTTAATTGATGGTTTTGTATTATTAATGCATCATTATGGAGTGAGCCACTAAATTGGCTCACTTTTTCTTCCTCTTCGCTCTCTCTTCCATTACTGCATATTATGTAGATTGTAGCGTTGGTAATTAGGTTAGCTCCGCAAGTGATATTAGGAGTGTAGGGCACTGATTGCAGTCTGTTTGAACTGTAGAGAGAGTTCATACTTTCATACGACAATGTTTATGCGTGTAATACTATAAGCTTATTAGGGGGGGGGGGGGGGGGGGAGCCACTCATTGCAGTCTGTTTTTTTACTTTCATACGACAATGTAATGCATGTTTTCTAATATAAGGCGGGTGTGGTGCGAAGTTAATAAGGATTAATTTCTAAAACGATTTAAAGCGGTTTAAGACGGGAGTGATGAGGTGTAATAGTCGTGGTACAGATACTATTGGATGCGTGAGGGAACTCCTAATAGAATTGCTCACCTAATGCGGGTTTTGACTCAGCGGGTAATTACTCCTACCCTTTTTAACTGTGGCAGTGAAATCCCGGCCGAAGGCCGGGTTACACTAGTTAAC